GCTCTAGGACCCTATCTGGTGCAGACCTGGGCAGACCTTGCATGAGCTGCCTCCGTCTCTGGGATTCACGAGTGTGTTGAACCCTGCCGATTTAGAGGGCCATGTTGTCCCCACACCTTCTGGCACTTAACACTCTTTCTGCCTCCTCTTCTGCAGGGTTCCTTGAACTCTCTCCTGGCACTTAACACTCTTTCTGCCTCCTCTTCTGCAGGGTTCCTTGAACTCTCTCCTGGCACTTAACACTCTTTCTGCCTCCTCTTCTGCAGGGTTCCTTGAACTCTCTCCTGGCACTTAACACTCTTTCTGCCTCCTCTTCTGCAGGGTTCCTTGAACTCTCTCCTGGCACTTAACACTCTTTCTGCCTCCTCTTCTGCAGGGTTCCTTGAACTCTCTCCTGGCACTTAACACTCTTTCTGACTCTTCTGCAGGGTTCCTTGAACTCCGAGGAGAGGGATTTGGTGGAGACATCCCACTTAGGGCTAAGTGTTCTGAGGTCTTGGGCTCTCAGCACGATGCCTGGCTGTGGGACTCTGTGTTTGTTCCCATCTGCTCTAGGAGGAAGCTTCCCTGAGGAGGGCTGAGCAAGGCACTGATCAATGACAGCAGCAGAATGTCATCAGGAGTCATTTTATTGCTATGTTCTTTTAGTAGAATAGTAGTATTTGGTTTTTACCATAGGTTCCTGAGCTATCTAGTCTGAGGTTCTTGGTCACCCTAGTAGTGCCAGGTATGGGTTCTAACTCTTGGAGAGGGCCCAACCCACTCAACCATCCTTAACTCCTTATTCTCTTTTCCAGAGAAATCTATCTGTCCCTCCTTGTTCCCTACTCTACATCTAATCTCCATGGTTCTAAGAACTACAGTTTGCTTATCATCGACTCAGCAGCTAATATCCACATGTAAGCAAATACACACTGCACTTGTTTATCTGAATCTGGGTGATTTTTTTTTCTAGTTCCATCCATCAGCCTGAGTTTCACAACTTCATTCAACTGCTGAGTAATACTCCATTGTGTAAATGTACCACGTGTTTATCCATTTGCCTGTTGAAAAATATCTAGGTTGTTTCCAATTTCTGGCTGTTATGAGTAGGACAGCAATATACCTGGTTGAGCAAGTGTCTCTGCAGTAGAGCATATGTCCAAGAGTGGTATGGCTGGATCTCCAGCTAGATTGAGTGCCATCTTCCTGATCTGAACTGTCACACTGATTTCCGTAGTGGCCGTACAGGCAGTGATGGTGCGTGCGCCTTCAATCCCACACCTCACGAGGCCGAGAAGCAAGCAGCTCTCTGAGTTCAAGACCAGCCTAGTTGGTCTATGTCCTTGCCAGCACGAGCTGTCACTTGTGTTATTGGATCTTAGCCGTTCTGACAGGTGTAAGATGGAATCTCAAAGTAGTTTTGATTTACGTTTCCCCGATGACTAAGGATATTGAATATTTCTTTAAGTGTTTCTCAGCTATTTGAGATTTTTTTTCTTCTCTACTGGGAATTCCTTGTGTAGATCTGTGCTCCATTTTATGATTGGATTTTTTTTGAGATCTAGTAGAGGATGTGGAGTTTGTTGAAAATCTTTTTTTCATTTTGTAGGTTGCGGTTTTATCCTATTGACAGCGTCCTTTGCTTTACGAAAGCTTTTAGGTTTCATTATGTCCCATTTATTAGCTGTTAATCTCAGTGTTAATGGTGTCCCGTTCAGAAAGTCCTTTCCTGTGCCAGTGAGTTCAAGACTATTTATTCCCTACTTTTCTTCCAGGTTCAGTGTATCTGGTTTTATGTTGAGGTTCTTGATCCACTTTAAGTTGAGTTTTGTGCAGGGTGATACGTGTGGTTCTATTTGGATTCTTCTACATCCAGACCCCTCCAGTTTGACTAGCACCTTTTGTTGAAGATGCTGTCTTTTCCCCCCTCCAGTGTGTATTTCTTGTTTCTTTATATATATATATATATATATATATATATGTAAAAAATAAGGTATCCATCCATAGGTACGTAGATTTATATCTAGGTCTTCCATTCCACTGATCAACATGTCTGTTTTTGTGTCAATTACTTGCTGCTTTTATTTTACTACAGCATCTGAAAATTGCCCTTTCAAGATCTGTGAGGAATTGTGTTGGAATTTTGATGGGGATGGCACTGAATCTGTTGATTGCTTTTGGTAAGATGGCAGTTTTTCTTTATTAATCTTACTAATCCATGATCATGAAACCCTATAGTTTGATTTTCTTATATTCAGATGTGCTTGCTTCCTCCCATTGTTAGACATCGAACCCAAGGCTCTTTGCATGGTAGGCAAAAACTCTACCACTGAGCTATATCCTGGACATTTATAGTTATTCTTTTCAGTTTCACCAGCATGATATTTTTCTCAGTTAAGTCCTTTTAAATCAGTTTAACTTTCAAAATTTTTCAAATATTTTAATAACATGTGTAGGGGTGGTTACACATACATGTGTTATGTGTGCTCCTGGAGTCCAGAGGCATCTGATCCTGTTTGAATTGGGAGTTGTAGACAGTTGTCAGCTATGTAAATGGGTGCTGGGAACCAAAGTCAGGCCCTCTGTAAGAGCAGTGCACGCTCCTAACAGACTTCGCACCACCTCTCCAGCCCCAATTTTCAAATTTCTTATTTATATGTCATTCTAAACCTTTTCTATTTTAACTACCATCTTTCTCAGACATGATTCTTTTTAGTTTCATCGTCATTGTTTCTGATTTTCTTCTTTTTAAAGCTATTTGGATGATTTGTCTCTTGATGCTATAGTTTTCTGACTTTTGTGTTTTATGCTCTTTTTTGATATCCTTGCCTTATAGCCAGAAGGAAACACAGTTATAGATATAGGTCCCAGATTTTCTTTTTATGAGTTGGCTAGAGACGAAGAAAGTAACAAAAAGAAACGGTTATCAAAACCTGGCCTTTTAACTTGTGCAAAGGAATAAAAGAGGCAGGGTTTACTAAAGCACCTAAGTCCGATAATGAACAACGTAGAAAACTTTCTTCTTCTAACACTGTCCCACCACACAGGGAAGAGCACTGAAGCATTGGGGGTAGACCCAGTGATTCGGAAATGAGCACTTGCATTTTGCTAAAAACCATGCGAGGTGGTTCGTTTTTAATTTTTCTTTTTTTTTTTTCTGGTGACATGGAGGACACTCACTGTTGACAATAGACGGACTTATATATCTAGAAGACTCATTTCAGAACCTGTGCAGAGAACAGATTCCAGGAAGGACTGAAGATAAAAAAGCTCAGTTGGGGATCATGACTCTGCGGGCCAATTGCTGTTTGGATAAAGCAAAGGGGAAAATGACATACAGGTCTGCTGAGAGGGGAGCTGGAGCTGAGGAAATTTTTCCCAGTGTCCTGGAATGTTTGCAGCAGCGGAGTGAAGAGAAGCATCTGCTGGGAAGCGGTCGCATAGATCTTTTTAAAGGAAAAGTGATCAGCTGGCGCCGGGCGGTGGTGGCGCACGCCTTTAATCCCAGCACTCGGGAGGCAGAGGCAGGCGGATCTCTGTGAGTTCGAGGCCAGGCTGGACTAACAGCCTCTGAAACAATACAGAGAAACCCTGTCTCATAAAAACCAAAAAAAAAAAAAAAAGTGATCAGCTGATCGGTTAAAATGGCATCTGTGTTAATGCAGTCTTTCTGAACTTCAGAGGAGTCTGGCCAAAGGTTGTCTTCAGTTTTATTTAGAATACTGCTAAAAGCCATGGTACTCTCAAAAGGCTTAAGCTGAAATACAAATACACAAGACAGCGGTATTTGTAAATTCTCAAGACAGGTCTTGAATATTATTATCATCTGATCATTCCTCAAGTTGTCTTCTGATCTCCACACTTACATTGTGGCATGGCCCTCTAACCAATCAATCAATCAATCAATCATGCAGAATTCATGATTATCCTGACTTCCTTATGATGATTTCTTGGGTGAACAGAGTTCATGCACAGGAGACTAGGGCCTGTCCCTCATCCCTTGGATTCTCCAACTGCAGTGGACCCCATGATGTGCATATCCAAAGATTCTACCTGTGTGATGAGGACCGACCTAGGGACATAATTGACCCCACTAGAGTGCTTGCTTAACATGCAAGAAGTCCTGAGCTCCGTCCCAGGACCTGCTATAAAACCAGGCACAGGGAACTGGGAAGCTCTTGGAGGCGAAAGTATCATAAGTTCAGGATCATCCTTGAGGCCAGCCTGGGCTACACGATAATGAAATAAAGGATCTGTACAAGTGCTAGATATAACTTCCTTCTCCAGTGTTCTGCGTTAACCTTATGTCCACATGCTCGTTGAGTTACTGAATGAATTGCCCTGTGTCCTCAAGAGTTTTTTTACTTTCGAGTTCCTGAAGACTGAAATTAGAGAGTCTTTCAGTGGCTAAGTGGTTGTGTTAGTTAAAATAGTAATAGTAATATAGAAAAATTAAAAACATAACGCAGGCCATTGGAGGTAGCTTAGAGGATAAAGGTACAAACCTGACAATTTAGTTCAATCTCTGGGACCCATAAAGTGGAAGAGAGAACTGACTCCCTCAAATTGTCTTCCAAACTTAAATTGTGGCGCAGCCCTCCAATCAATCAATCAATCAATCAATCAATCAATCAATCACTCATTCATCCAATCAATCAATGTAATACGTTCAGAAACAAGAATTAACAAGTACACGTGTGAAACGAAGTACGAGTAAAGCTCGTCAGCTAAAACAGAGTCCTGCTCGTGTGGGGGCTCAAGTCGGTTATCCAAGCTCTTTTGGAGAACGAGGTAGACAAATTCGAGACCAGCTTGAGCCGCCACACACGCACAGCAAACTACAAATCCCACCATTCCTGGCGCCGCGGCGCCGTCACGTGGGCGCACGGAACGCGGAAGCCCGGCTGGCGTGTGCGCGCGTCCAATCGTGCCTCGAGGCTTGAGGCGGCGGAGGCAGGCTGGCCAATCGCGGCGCGGCGTGCCCCGCGGGGCCCCGCCTCCGTTTTGCGCTGACGGGTCGCCGGCGGATTCGCGGCGCGGGCGGGACGCGCGGCGCTCGCTCCGTGCCCTCTTGGTTCTTCCTGCCTCCCGGGTTCTCCTCCCGCTCCACCATGGCTCCGAAAGGCGGCTCCAAGCAGCAGTCGGAGGAGGACCTGCTCCTGCAGGATTTCAGCCGCAACCTGTCGGCCAAGTCGTCGGCGCTCTTCTTCGGGAACGCGTTCATCGTGTCCGCCATCCCCATCTGTGAGCAGCGGGCGGGAGGACGAGCGGGCGGGCGGGCGGGCGGCGGCGGGGACGTGGCGGGCCGGGGCGGGAGGCCGCGGGGAGGGGAGGCGGGCGTGGGCCCGGTGCGGGCGTCCCCGGGAAGCCCTTCGCGGCGTGCATCTCTCCGGGATGCCCCTGCTGGTACCCGCGTGTCGCCGCCTGCCCTTTCCCCGCACCACTCTCGTGCGAGTGAGCCGGACGAGAGTCGGCCCACCGCCGTCCCCGGGGTAGCTAGCGTGCCGGGCGGCGGACCCCACCACCATCAACTACCCCTGGGCATCCCTGTGATTTGCAGAGTGTGACCCAAGTGAGGCCGGAGGTCCGAGGCCGGCGGGCAGCCTGTGGTTTAGGATTTTTAAGAGCCCTCCCCGCGCGCGAGAGAGCAACTCCAGACGACTCCTGGTTTGAATGGGAGCCTTGCAGACTTAGGCAGGCCAAGGCGGGTTTCAAGCCCAGGTGTCTGTCTCCCTCCTGGGCCCCCACTGTTGCAGCCCGGCCACCTCCAGACGTATTTTCTTATTATAAAGGTCTTGTTAAAGCAAAACAAAAACTCAGCGTGCAGTGAATGTGGTGTGGAGCCGTCCCCACGCCCCTCTTTGCTTCGCTGGCCCCGGAAAGAAAGCGCGGTTTTGATTTCGCAGAGTGAGACACGTCAGCAAGTAAATCCACGCGTTGGGGGTCAGCAGCGTTTGATAGAAAGTGGCTGTACTAGGCACTTGATACCAGACAGTGGGATTTGAATCGTTTGTGACTTTTCTTTAGTTCCAGTTTCGTCTGAGGAAACCTCTAGACTTGTCAACCCCCCCCCCCAACTTTATGAACGGGGAAAAGAGCCCTGAACTGAGTGAGACTAACCCTGTTTATGGGGTATGCCTCTTCTGGTGGAGTTCTCCACTTTGGGTGGGATTTACGAACCCTTCTGCCTGGTTTAGCTATAGTTAGTCTGGTCAGGCTTGTGTTAATTTGTTAGTAATATGTGTTCCCCTTTGTGTCCTTCCTTTTTTTTTTTTTTTTTTTTGTCTTAACTCAGGGTTGTACTGGCGAATATGGCATATGGACCTTATTCAGTCTGCCGTTCTCTACAGCGTGATGACGCTTGTAAGCACTTACTTGGTAGCCTTTGCATACAAGAATGTAAAATTTGTCCTCAAGCACAAGTAAGTACATATTTGCCAAGAGTACCCGTGATGCACTGCGCGTGCTTTTATGGTGGAGTGTCTTCTTAAACAGATGGCCTTACAGTTGGAAGCATTAGTTTGAAACGTCTGTCTGTATTGTGGGAACAAGGCAGATTGGTACCTGGAGAATTGATAATCCCTTGAGCTGTCCGACAGGCACTTTAGTGGACATAGGTGTCCAGGGTGGAATTTGAATGTTTAAGCAGTAGTTTGTAATCACTGGTTCCATCGGAACAACAAATCTACAAAATAAAATGTTAGAAGAAACTCAATGGAGTTCTTTCTAGAAATTGTTCCTGGGTTTTCCATTTACTAATTTTCGAAGCAACTTTGTTTTGTTTTTTTTAATTTACTTAAATTTATGTGCGTTGTTGTGAAGGTGTCTGATCCCCTGGAACTGGAGTCATAGACAGTTGTGAGCTACCCCGTGGGTGCTGGGAATTGAACCCGGGTCCTCTTAAAAGTGCTCTTAACCACTGAGCCATCTCTCCAGCCCCATTGGAAGCAACTTAGAAAAAGATTCTCTGACATTTTTAATGCCAGTTACGTTCTTCTTAGAGTATTCACTGTAGAAGATAACAATATTTCTTGAATTTCAAGATCACATGTATTATGAGACAAATTATTATTATTTTGGTTTTTTCGAGATAAGGTTTCTCTGTGTGTCTCTGGCTGTCCTGGAGCTAGCTCTTGTAGAGGAGGCTGGTCTCAAACTCAACAGTGATCTGTCTGCCTCTGTCTCCTGAGTGCTGGGACTAAAGGCATGTGCCGCCACCACCACCTGGCTGACACATTATTCTAATAGCTTTTGGAGAAGAAAACCCAAGTTTAACCTCAGTAGATTTTTATGTTATGAGCACTTGTATATTCTGCTTTCTTAGAGATAAAACAGGAGAGTGTAGACTTTCAATCACTGGAATGTTTATTTGTTTATCTGAGCAGGGGATTATGTAGCCCAGGCCGATCTTGTGAATGGTGTTGGGATTATAGGCATAAGCAGCCACACTGGCTGTAATTTATTATTTTAGAGTGCCTCCGTCCTCTGGGAGGCACGGTATGAATTAATACTTGATTTGAGAAGGTGTTCTCCAGAGTTACTTTCACACACACTTTTGGAGTAGCAGGGTACTCTGCTCTGGTTTTATTCAGTAGGATCTTCTGGATTTGGCTTTTCTTATAAACATTTTTTTTTATGTTTTACTTTTTATTTTTGAAGTGGGTGTGGTGTGGTGTGTGTTTGTATGCGTGATTGGGGGCAGAAGAGAGTGTTAGATCCCCTGGGGCTTGAATTACACGTAGTTCTGAACCACCTGAAATGGGTGGTGGGAACTGAACTCAGGTCCTCTGCAAGAGCAGTGTGTGCTCTTAATTGCTGAGGCGTATCACCAACTTCTAAAGTCACTTTTAAAAGGTAATAGGAATTTTGAGCCTAGACATGCTGTGTATTTAACTCCCCTCCCCCCATTTCCCATAGTATCCACACTTGATGAGAAATTTTTTGTTTGGTTGATATAGCAGTCTCCATCTGGTCGCTTGAAACAAAAACATAGGGACTCCTCTGACGGGCCCTGTATAAAGCTATCTGATGGTATTTTTTCTCCCTTACATCATCCATACTTTATGGGATATTACACATAGAGATGAGGGACTGGGAGAGGTGGCTTGGTGGTTAAGTGGCCGCTCTTCCAGAGGAGTCTGTTTAAATTCCCCGCACCCACGTAGAGGTGCACAACTGTGTGCAACTCCAGTTCCAGGGAATCCATCCGATGCTTTCTGGCCTCTGGGCACTAGGCATGTCTCTGGTGCTCAGACGTGCAGGCCAAATAATAATTATTATTAATTATTCAAAGATCACATATTTTAGCCAAAAGGCTGTTAAGTGACATATTCCTCTTTATCTGTCATTTTTATTTTGCTGTCTTAACACACAGTGGTCTTTTTTTTTTTCTAATACAATAACACCAAGTACCTTTTCAGGTTCTTAGAACCAAAGTCATCTGCCTCCTTCCTGTGAAGACTAACCTTCAGAGTTAGACTTAACCTTCTCGTCATCCTTGAAGGTGTCTTGTGTGCATCTCCACTCAGGATTCCCCTGCTTTCTGTTCTCGCGTGTCTGTGATTTCTGACTTTGATCATTCCCTTGTTGTCTTCTTTATGGTAGGCTCCTGTAGTTGACAAGGAGTCAGTGGCATATTCTGATTTCAGTTAGCAGGGTTCTATTGATGCGATGTGCCGTCAGCGCCCTAAGCAGCTGCTGTCTTGGGCATATAAAGCCTTGGCTTCATGATTGCAGTTCTGCGAGATCAGCAGACTAATCCAGCTCATCTCTGTCACCCTTGTGTTTGGCAGCCCCTTGACCATTTGCCTTTTCAAGATTCAGCTATTTATGTCCTCCTCCTGTCTTTATGGGACGTGGATGTCTGGGTAGAGAATCCATCAGAAATAGAATCTTGCATGGCTGTCCTTTGTAATCCCCTTGTAGCTCAGTCTCTTTGTTACTTACCCTGAATGCCACTCACTGTTTATGCATTTCTTTGGGATCAAATTATTTTCACCTGAGTCCCACTCTCGGCTTCTTGAGGGAACTGCTGTGTCTTTTGCGTTGTAGCTCTCAGAATGGTTGATGATGTATTTTAGTTTAGTAAAATTTCACTGGCTTGCTGACTTAGTAGACTCCTAAGTAGAATTTCCTTTAGTTTTAAGGTATTTAGTTTTAAGGTAGCTGACATAGCAACTATAGATACAAGACTGGTGACGTGGCTCAGTGGGTAAAAGAACTTGCCGTGGAAGCCCAGTGGCCAGAATTTGGTTCTTAGAATCGCAATGTAAAGAGAGAACCAAGTCCCCAAAGTTGTCCTCTGGCTTCTCCGTGCCCCGGCCCATAGGAGTCCTAAAGTAAAACTGTTGTAGTTTTACATGACTTGTACGGCTTGCAGACTCAGTGAGAGCATGAGTGCTCTTGGGCTGTGGTGAAAGGGAAGATGGCTTCAGAGTCAGCAAGTCTAGACTCTGCTGCTCTTACTTGTGTTGTCCTGGGTTATATGTTTTTTCCTCTGGATTTTTGACTTGAGAGGTGTAAGATAAGGATTTATGGTAACTCAGAAGCAGGGGAGGTAAAATAGGATCAATGTGTGACATGTTGTTAACCATAGCATATAGCATGTAATATATTTCGTTCAAAGTTGGCTTGAAAACCTTTAGGAATTGTTTAGAAAGGGGTCATGATTTAAATAGCGTTTGTAAAGACATTTAGACATTTTGCTTTAAGAAACTAAATGTGTGTGTGTGTGTGTGTGTGTGTGTGTGTGTGTTTACCCTGAAAGGTTCTGATGTACTTTGAAAAAAAAAATAGAGTAAAAATAGTTACCGTGAGCTATCTTAGTTGATAGTGTGCTGGACGCCTGGAGGGACTTGTCTTGTTGGAAACTGACAGAGTGAGATACATTTTCCAGCAGACTTAAGACGTGTGATACTGGTGAGGACCTCTTTTCTGAGTAAACCTGGTCGTGGTTGAGTCTCTAGTTGGTAAATAATAGGATGCTAGACCTAGAAGAGAGGTTGGTTGTCTGGTTTAGGGTCTTTCAGGTAGATTTGTCTTGTATATAGTCTATAGAGCAGCTTACAGGTAAGTAATTCTTTTGAAGACTTGCGTTTTTGAGGCAGGCAGCTACTAGTATGTGTATGTTTGTTTTGAAGTTCAGCTATGGACCATTTGTCCATTCCATCTCTTTGGAGGTTTTATATAGAGAAAAAGGGCTTGAAGTTGAGTTCAGGAAATGGTTCTTGTTTATTAGAGAGGCTGAGAGAGGAGCCTCTCCTTCAAGAACCCAGCTTCTCAGAAATGAAAGAAACATCCAAAAGGGTGAATTTTACATAATGAAGTCATGTGAGCTTGGGTCTTTGGGATAAAAATGTACTCTGGAGGGTCCTGGATAGCTGACCCCTTAGCTCATCTATTTTTCTCAGCTTTTCCTCCCTTGGGTTATCAATTTGGGGTCATACCATTAAAAAGTAATGATGCCCCTTTAAAAGCATATATTCATTGAAGTTTAGTTTTCATCAGCTTCAGTTCTAACTTTGTTCTTGAGTGAGAGCTGGAGATGGAGGCCTGGGAAAGCCAGTCAGCCTGTGCTCACTTGATCTAGACTCAGGATTCTAGAGGCTCTTGTGGTTGAATGAATGATTTTGGGTGTTCTCTTGAAGTCTATCCATGTTTCTCCAGTTTTCTTTGCTCTGCTGACCAGAACTAAATACTTGTGTGGTAATACAAGTCTGAGGACTTGGACACAGTGAACAGGCTTCTGTCTGTTTTCTATCCTGTTGTGTTGAGTTCTTTCATAGTGGGAGCACTGTGGGGCTGCTAGTTACCCAATGAAAGTTTTCATGTTGGCATTACTACTTTCTCTTTGGTAGGGCTAACTGTAGCGCTCATTCTGTGAAACATACACTATGTTGAAGATAAGTGTCTTAGCCTATGGGTGGCTATGTATATTTTATTATTTAAATCTACTTCTTTACTAATAACCCCACCTGATAAAATTCATATGCAGATTGTTGTTGTTGTTGTTTTGACCTGTATACTTTTTTGAAACAAGACAGCATGTAGCTGAGGCTAACCTTGAACTCCTGAACCTTGTGCTTCCGTTTCCAAGCACTGGAATTACAGGCATTTGCTATCATGTCCAGTTGATGAGTATGTTTTTGTCACCACCTCCCCTGCACTCCCAACTAAGATCTGGAGATTCTGATGAGTTCTTGATCAAACTGTCGGTCTGACTCAGTGTTAACTCAAACCAGTGGCTAATTAAGTATAAGTATTACTGTCAGCCTCTGACCATGCTCTGTTATTTCTTTTAAATAAAAATTGTCCTTTGGGATGGAATTACAAGCATAGCTTTAAGATCCTATAGTTATTTTCCTTCATGTATTAAATCAAGATCTCTGTCCTGTAGTCTACTTGGAATTGAATAACATCAGTAATAAAACATCCCGTGAACTTTAGGAAATAAAATGTAATCACAATGAGCTGTGCTAATAGCATTTGACTTATTAAATATCCTTGCTTTGGAAAATGTTCCTTTTCAAGCAGAAATCAAATCCCATAACTAAGAAACCGTATCTTGAGAGTTTCTTGAATTTCTCTTAGGCTTGTACAGTGTAGTAAATTTGGGATTCTCTGTCCACTTGACTTTCTTGAAATGTAAAGTATCATTCAGTTGCCAATATAAAATGGGAGTGCAGAGTGTTTTGCGACACTGATTTTCATCTACAGAGAATGTGGAAACCTTTTTCTTTCTGTGTTTTCTTTCAGAGTAGCACAGAAGAGGGAGGATGCTGTTTCCAAAGAAGTGACTCGAAAACTTTCTGAAGCTGATAACAGAAAGATGTCTCGGAAGGAGAAAGATGAAAGGTTAGACGTGCGTGTCTGTGTACATGTGTGTATACGTATGTGTATGCATTACAAGGCAGAAGATGGCGTCAGCTATTTCTTCCTTCACTCTCCACCGTGTTCTTTCTCTTGCTGAACCAGAACAACCCACAAAGGTTGGTGGCCACCAGGCCCCTAGTAAGCCTGCCTCTTCTTGGAGCTGGGGTTACAGAGTGCAAGGGTCCATGCCCAGCCCCTCCATGGCTGCTGGGCTCTGAACTGTGCTCATTGTGTGTGCTCTGAGAGCACTCTTTAATCTGTCTCTCACCCCCTTAGCTCCTTATTTAAAGTGTTAGCTATAAAACTTGGGAGAAAATACGTTTTTGAATTCTCATTTAAGATGGCAGATATTGGCATTGTATAAGTAGTAGCAATGGTGATAGTAATAGCTGACATTTGTTGTGTTTTTGTTACCACTAGAGCCTTTTCTTTGAGCTCTATTCAGTTGATTTGCTCTGAAGAGTTAGGTGTATATCTGCAGCACGTTTCCTGCATTCATGGCTCAGGAATCATTACTGAAGAGGGGAGAGGAGGATTGTAAGAACCAGGAGAACAGGACATTTGCTATGAGATTCTGCTCTACTGGAAATGTCAGGGAAGTTACACCCACAAACTCTGACTTGCATAGATGTCTACCTGTGACCTGAACAAGGAAGAGGAAGGCATTAATGGACAGTGACGCGGAAGGGGAAAGCTTATGAGGCCTCAGCCTTACACAGAAGACTGGAGGCAATTAGGAATGCTGAGACGGGGAGAGAGTCTCCTCAGAGCACACCAATTGGTTACCTCCTCCTCCTCCTACTACTACTACTACAACTACACATGCACGCACGCACACATGTACACACGTGTTAGAGACTCCTTTTTATGCGGGGGGGCAGAAAGCTTAGCAAGTTAGCTGTTGCTACATAGATCCTTGATAATACAGGCTCTCTGACTTGAGAACTTGTACCAGTAACTGTTCTGCTGGAATTTAGGAAGCAACAGTTTCTTTCTGTGTCCTTGTATATCACTTAACTGAAGGGTAGTACATTATCTTTTTTTAGTAGTTGTGACTGAATTCCCCAGGGGTGTTCATGGCATATGTGGACACTGAATGCAGTGACTGGAGAAATGAAGACTGGGCTTGTCTCTGTTGCCTGAGTTTGTAGTGGTATGCCTGTTAGCTCCCTTCCCCCCCTTTCTTTCCTTTTGGCCAGCTGCTCTTAGAAGATTTCTTAAATAATCCATCAGTATGAAGTGCCTAAGCCCCAAACTGATCAAGTAATTGGTGCATAAGAGTTACCAGCATGATTGTTTTCATGTATCTTAAGCTATAGTGAGGTGCTTGGTGGGACAAGGTGTCTCTGCACTTCCCCCCCACAAAAGACTTTGTGTGGGCCTTGCAGAGTGGTACAATTAATTCTGTAAGAGCAGAAACTATTTAAAAGGGAGAAAAGGTGTTTAAACGACCACCTTGGAGTTAGCTCCAGCATTCGAGCATTGTATTTGCTTTTGAGTTCCCAAGTGTATGTGAGGTCATGCTGTCTTCACTCTGATGTGAGGTGGCGTGGCGTGCAGGCCCTGCAGAAAGCAGTCTTCCTGGCACTAGTCTGTGGAAAGACTCTATCAGGTAGACCCTGACTGAAAGAACACCAAGTAACTTCATGAACAAAGCTTCTGCAATAGTTTGAAAGGCACCAAACATGAACAAAACGATTGTCTTCTGTGGACACTTTATTAAACTGAGGATGTGATATTAAAGTCATGTCAGTGAAGGCCTTTTGTAGGGGACAGTCATGAGGTTTGGCTGCATAGCTCTTTGGTGGCATAATTTTGAGTAGAAATAAAAGTTAGAGAATCTGTAGCCTTACAACCCCTTTTGCTGAATTATGTAGGACAGTATTTCAGAGTAATTGACACAGCTATCAAGGTTTTGGAGGTGATCATATTGGAAATGGCAAACAGGTTTCACCTGCCCACTGCGAATTTGCCCAGTCTACTCTGTGTATTGGTTTCTGGTCCTGGGATGTCTCAGAATTTTTCTCGTGATGAGAAAGTCATTCAGGTAGTCATTAGCAGTCAGAACAGAACTTGGAGTGAAACCTCTGCCATCTGTTGATGTAGCTATTCAAAGTGTATCAGGTGGGTGTGTAAAGTGCAGATTATAAACGTCTTCTTGTCACTTTAGAAATTAGTGCTGTCAGTATTTCTTTCACAGAAATGGCTTTACCTGGGTCTGTACTTGATTGATCTGGATAACAGATCAGAGACTTAGATTTGGTAAGTTGCCATTAGAGGATAAGCTGCTTCCAAGAGATTTGGCGTAAGAAAAGGCTCAACATCTTGTGTCTCCCTCCAGGCTCCATTTATAGCTATTTAGGTGTGTGTCTGTCATGCCACTCACCCCAGGATGGAAATAAGCAGTGGAGAGTTAGAGATTCATAGAGGTGACAGTTACTGATTTCCTGAAGCTCTTTTGTCTCTATTATCTGCTTGTAACAGTTGCTGTTTGGTGTTTCCTTTTCTTCTGTTTTAGAATAAGCTCTCCCTGAAAAATGATTCCTTGGGAGATAATTCTCCCAAGCTAAATTTTCTACCAATGAAGCCTTGGTAGAACCATTGGGTTTTTAAAATTATTTTAAAATAACCAGTATGTGGGTGGACCAGACATGTTTTGAAGACATTCAGATGGTTCTGACTTGTATACCCTGGTGTAACATCATGGACTAGATGATCCAACTTTCACCTCAGCTGTTTTGGAGGTGATTCTGTTTCAGGTCATGGCAGGAAGAGAGTTAGGGAGACCTGCTCAGATGTCACTGGGACAATTTAATCAGCAGAGTAAAAGCATGCCATAGCTCACTGGGTCTTATGCCAGAGTCAAAAATAGCTGTGTTGGTTCTGAGTATGTTTTAGCCTTCAGGTACATTGGGCCTGTGTGCCTTTCTGTGCTGCATTTCCTTGGAGCAGTGTAAGAGTGGTAAAATGTATTTCTTCCAATTTAGATTTACATTTACTCTTCTTAGAAATCAGAATGTTCTTAGTTGTTGGCTGCATTTTAATGTTCTTCCTGTTTCCCAAAGTAGAGTAAGTTTATTAAGTTGTGTTTGTAAAAATCAAGGAAATAGAGCATCAGTGTTATTAGAGACTACAGATTTCTCATGGTGAGGATGGGTGATTATACCCTCATTTTATCCCTTACAGCCAAACTTCTTGAATTTGGACTAGAGCATGTGATAAATAGGAATGTCGGTTAGCAGTCCCTGTGGGGTGGGTGGGAGGGCTCTGTATCAGAGTTGGATTTCTTCCCAGGAGGACAAAGCATCTAGAGTTGCAGTTTTTAATTTTTTCATGATGACTGCACAGTGAAGCTGCATTTCACCTTTTTACCAAGTATAATAATTTGTACATACATACACATGTTTCAGAAAACAGTAATTACACACACTGTGTGTGGTGGATTCTCAGTATCTTTTTTTTTCCTGTTGTATTAAACAAGAAAAGCAAGTCTCAAACCACTTGCTTAGTTTCTCTGGGCATTTGAACAACTAACTTCATTTCATATCCCACCAATGGATCACAGTCTACTCTACAAAATAAAAAATGACTTTGCAAAGTTAATTAGTCAAGTGAAATAAAATCTGCCTTAATCAAAAGCATTCTGAAACATCCTCTTGGCTGATTTGGAGAGATAAGAGACAGATAAATATGGGAGCAATTGAAACAGATTTAAAAGTAAGAATTTTATGGAAGTTAAAAACAGTCATCTTAAAAATCATGTAGATTCCTTCGAATTTAGTAATGACAGTTTAATATAGACCGGGTGAGATGGTGGCCAGCTTTGTTCTTGGTATTATCCCTTTAAGATGTGAAACTAAAGACTGAAGCCCATAGGTTAGAAACCCTTAAACTAGGATGCACCCAGAGAAGCTAAAGCCAAGAAGCCTGTGCCATACCAACTGTTGAAACTGTTTCAAGTGCAGACCTGACCAAGGGTATCGACTTTTGACCTGTGATACGACATCATCTGTGTGTTAGGCCACATCGGTAGTAGTGGCTGGTCCACAGGCCTCAGATTGGGTACTCCCTTTCCTGGGACTCTTAAAGACACATATTTTAGGCACTTATAAAATCATGCCAGTTGCAATTAATGTCATTCCCTTCTACTTGGCTATTTGGGAAAATGGCAGCACACCCAGCAGCTGTCATTTACCATCAACAAGGAAAACAGAATTCAGTGGAAGAAAGGAGATAATGTGCTTCAAATTTAACACTGCAAATGCACTGTTATCCTTGAACACAAGGAAAATTTTGTCTTGTAATGAATGAGAACCATTTGGTATTTTAAAGTTTTTGATCATATTTATAAACTTGATTAACTTGTTTTTGTATCTATAGAATCTTGTGGAAGAAGAATGAAGTTGCCGATTATGAAGCCACGACATTTTCCATCTTCTATAACAACACTCTGTTCCTGGTTTTGGTCATTGTTGCTTCCTTCTTTATACTGAAGAACTTCAACCCCACAGTGTATCCTTAAAAAGCTTTCAGAAGCCTATAAACAGTAATTTGTTTTATTTTTAAGCTGTCTGGTCTGTTAGTGGAAACAAAAACTCCCTCAGAGCTAGTTAAATAGTGCTAACTCTAGGCAGGTGTCTATGGACTTAGAACTTAGGTTTCTGGCTTGCCTTACTTTTTCTTAAGTCTAAGTTTTATGGTAAGTGAGAAGTGTTATAAAGCAATCTGACACTGTGTGTGTAACTTTGTCTACTTTCTTGTTTAAAAGGAGTCAAAGTCAGTAAATAAATGTGCTGTCTTCACTAGTTCCTTTGTGCGCATCTGCTGGCTTTGGAGGTTACTTAGATGGCCAGGCAGTTAGGAATGGCAGGCACAGTTTATGTATTCATAGTGTTAAAGATGCTTTTAAATTCAGCTTTGGCCAAGTCATTCGTCTTTAATTAAAGGAATTTTTTAACAATCAGAGGTTGTGGTGTAATGAAACATCAGACACCTCTGGCTCATGTCCTTTGGGAATACCGGTGGGCCTTGCCAGAGTGGCTCCAGAAAGGTTTGCTCAAAGAGCCTGTAGAGCCAGGAACGTTCGGCACCTCCTTGCCTTATCTGCCTACAATAGCAGGACTGACGTGAAGCTTTTTGCCCTTGACCGTTTGTGTCTGATGTTCTTTGACCAGCTCTTCTCGTGAGGCTGTACGTGGAACTAAGATTTGTTCTTTGGGATTTCTTCTAGGTTTGACTCAAGTGTCTTTTCAGTATCGAAACACAGTACGTATGGATACTTTTTCATGTTTTGTAGCCTTCTAGACAGTGAGACTACATGCACATCATTCTTGTCCAGGCAGTGAAACTAAACACACTTGTGTCAGTAAGGGAAGGCTCTTTTATTGTTGAAAATCTAGTTTTGGGCTTACACTTTTTCCTTAACTATCTCCTTGCAGGAACTACATTTTGTCCATAAGTGCTTCCTCTGGACTCATCGCTCTCCTCTCTACTGGCTCCAAGTAGACCGTGGAGCTTGGCCCCCTGCCTTCGTTTCTATGGGTGGCCTGTGTGTATGGAAAAGTAACAGGGTGGCCAGGTTGAGAGAAACACAAGACGTTTTTATAGTCTGGAGTTTGAGGGTTTAAAAATGCAATAGAATGTAATACAGTGTTTGTTTATTGGCTCTTTTTGACAGATTGCTGAAATTAAATGAGTTGAAAGGGAAACTCAGAGTACCAGTACATTTATTAAGAGGCAACAAGTCTTGCAATGTGCTCTAATCACAAGAGAAGAAAATAACTTATTTCCTACATCTGTCAGAGGTCATGGTAACCTGGACTGAGCTGTTATTATTTATAATAGGAGGAAGAAGTTAATAACTAGTTCTCTGTGTTCCAAGCACAATATTACAGCTTTCGACTGTAAATCTCAGAGTGAATCCTCTTCCCAAGGGATTAAACAGAAGTCTCTGGTCTCTTGAGTTTGTAATTTGTAATAACTCAAAAACATGGCCTCTACAACTTGAGGGAGAGAAACTTGCAGTTTTGTTTTTTTTTTAAAGAAAGGCAGCCAAGGTATTAACCTAAAAATAGTACCCATCCTGTGAGTGTTGGCCTGTGGAGCTAAGCACACACTGTTCAGCTCTATGGCTTTGGCCCTGGGCGGCTGGTGAGGTCAGCTTGACCCTGCCATATTGGTTTGATGTGTGAAGTCACTGGAATCATTGTTTTCTGTGACCAGGCTCTCAGTACCACAGACAGAATGTTAAGTGAGAAGCCACTTCTTTCCCAATTATCGACACATGAGAGACCAGAAGAATTTTTTTGTGAACTTAGCCCTGGAATTCGGTGAACTCTCCAAGGAATTTACAGTGGTTTAAAAGGGTTATCAGCATTTTTTTTTTAATGAGGACTTTAATAAATTTGTCCCCTTTTGCCCAGGGTTCCTGTCAGTTGTACAAATGCTGATCACAGTCTTTGGGGGCCTCACATTGTATCCCCCACTCCCCAACATGTGCAGATTCCGTGTGTGCCGTGACTTCCCTATTCGCTGTTCACCACACCCGGGAACTTCCTGTAAACGGCACCTCAGAGGGAAGTATTCCTAATGCTCAGTGTCTGCTCGTAAGCTTTTGAGGACTTTGAAGATGTGTTCACCGAGAGCAGAGCCGCGTCTGTGCTGGTGGATGCTTCAGTGGTCTGCATGGAGGACTTAGGGGCGCTCAGGGGAATGCCATTGTACAGTCAGCTCACTCCGACCGTGCTCCGGAGGTGCCCGGTTCTGTTCTCTGGTGCCCTGTCATCTGAGTGCCCTTTCCACATAGGAAACGAGAGGAGATTCAGTGCAAAGTACATTTAGGCAACACATGAGGGGTAGGGTGTTTTGTTCTCCTGTTTTAATCAGTATTTGGCTGGTAACAGTTTGTGTACCTAATAAAATAATCCAATCCATCATCGAATTGTTATTAGAGCTGGGTCAAGCACCTTCCACGTGGCTACTGCAAACTTGCCACTAGGTGGCAGTGTCTGTGTGGATGGGTGGAAAGTCACCACCATTATTTGGCAGTGTTGTCACAGGGATGGTAAAATGGAGGTGCCAGCCCCAAATTTTTAATTCTTTTGAATTTTTAACCAAAAAATTTGCTGGGAGAGTTATTGTGTAGTTTATTTCTGTCTTGAAATGTTTCCAACAGCTGTCTTTTTTTTTTTTACTCCAAAATGGCTCTATGCAACGAGACAAATTTCTGTGTGTGCAGTAATGTAACCAGACCATCGGCTCCCTTTAAGGTTTAAATGTATCAGTTCTTTATGCTTAGAAATGTGGGCCCTGTTCCGTAATCTCTTCTCCATCATCAAATGTGGCAAATAGAGTTAAGATGTGCATGACAGTAAAATCCTATGGCGTTTTTTTTTTTTTTTAATCTTAAAAGGACACTGTATACGTAACATCAGTAAAACAGGACACTCAATGTGCTTGCTTTTTTAAACTCCATATCTGTGATAGGTAGAATCTTCGTGTTAAACATTTTCATTTCTTGATTTACTCTTTTTTTTTTTTTTTTTTTTTTTTTTTTTCGAGACAGGGTTTCTCTGTATTGTTTGGAGGCTGTCCTGGAACTTGCTCTGTAGACCAGGTTGGCCTCGAACTCACAGAGATCCTCCTGCCTCCGCCTCCCGAGTGCTGGGATTAAAGGTGTGTGCCACCAATACCCAGTGGTTTACTCATTTATAACTTAATAGAAGTCTTGTATCTCAATTTACAACTTGTCCTGTTTGGTATGTTGTTTTAACTTGGGAAGGATAATTTGAAACTGGATTTGAAGTTAATTGAAATAATGGAAGTTGAATTTATACTCAATATTCTTATGAAAAGTCTTGTTTTTAACAAGTATGATTAAATTTTGTTTTTAAAAATGTGTTTTTTCTGTAGTTCTTTATGCAAAACATGTGAGTATCTTAATTACATGTTTGATATTGACTGTCTTTCCGACACATGTAAATGCTCGGTTGAAGTCACTGCTCGCTCGTCTGTGAGGTCGTGACAGACACAGCACAGGTAAAGAGCAGTCAGGTCCCCGGCACAGTGGGCTGACGTGTGCCTCCTGTTCACGTGGCTTCTTCGTCTGCCAGGCCTTGCGGTTTCTGGGGACACTAAGAAAGGATGTGTATGTGTGTACACATGTGCGTATATGGAGAAATCCAGCATATCTCTTAGGGGACAGTACAAGTCCCATCTTTTATATCGTCTCAAACAGGGTAGTTCTTAGAAGTTTAGGAGGGTCTTTAATTTTTTTAATTTTAATTTTGTGTGTGCGCATGCATATGCATGCATGCATTGAAAAGGGAAGAAAAAGCAAAAACTTTTGGAGTTGTCTTCTAAGTGCAGTCCAAGCTGGCCAGAAACTTAGGGCGCTCCTGTGTGTGTGCCCGCACTCATGGTTCGCAATGCAAATCTCAATCTTTTTTTTTTTTAATTTTTTTGTGGGAATGGGGGGTTTGAGAGAGGGTCTAATGTAGATCAAACTGAATGAACTCTTGATCCTTCTGCCTGTGCCTCCTTAGAACTGGGAGTAAGGGTGTGTCCCACCTGTCATTGCTTCAGCCCGTTTTGTGACTTCTGTTAAGCATTCAGTGCAATATGGCTATCGACGTAATTTATTTAGGTGACTATTGTTTACTTCATGGTGATATTTTGTTTGTATTTTACATACAAGAGGATGTATGTTTCTTAAGCTTTATAATGAAAGACTCAAAGATGCATCATGGAATTACACAGATACCTTTATTATTCTAAGCAAATGAGTTGATTTTCCTTTAGACAACACTTCACTCACTTACACATACAGTAGTTGAGTGGATTAAATTTACAGTGAATAGCTGGAAAGTTAGTTTTCATCATTAGTCACATAATCATGGGCAGAACTTTCAAACTGCCTATATTAGACTCCAGGTAGTAACAATCATGTATCTGTTGATATCTGTCGCTGATAGTTTGAGATTTAGAACTTAACCATATGATACGTATCTGAAAATGATTTTAAGTTCATATATTTCTTGTGTAATTCTTAAAGTGATAGAGAACTTGCTGACTAGATAAAGTAGAATTTTGTCCATCTACAGATGGACAAATAAAGTTGGAGAATGATCCCACCTTTACAGAAAAGGGAGAAAAACACACCCTGTGTTTTCTCCTTATTTGCAGATATCCACACAGCATAGTCTTAACAATTTTTCTCAAGAGGGATACAGTGAGGTGAAGTATTAGAGTCAGGGCTGGGTGTATCTCAGATTCTGAGCACAAAGCTAAGCCCCTTTTTGCATGCAAAGAGCTCTTCATGCATACAGTGTAATGTGTGGTACAATTAGAATCTGGAGTTTTTGAAATATTTTGCTTTTTCTCTGGGCAAGTTAATTCATCCAGCATATGCTGAGGGATGGCAACATATTTTTACATTGCTTATGCTTTGTTTTCATGTTAATAACGCCTCAGAAAATACCAAGCACTGCATTAGACCCGACCCAGTGGTAAACTGAACACTTGCCTGTCTGGGTGTTTATAGGTTTAATTTAAAAAACAGTATATGTGTATTTTTAAAGCTCAAATATTTAAACTTGCAGGAGTTGCACCTACAAGCAATTGAAAGTATATGCAGGCTTTAATAAAATGTAAAAAATGAACACAACATTTTATTCAAAGCTGTTTCCATAGCATTGTAACCCTTTTATAAATTAGCCATTATGTATCTAGTAAAGATTTGGGTATTCATACTTTTATACCTCTATATCTAAATAGACACGGTAGAATCCTAACAGGTACCCCAGATAAATTATTCAGGTCCAGGTAACAATGAAAAACTTCAAGATATTGAAAACAAATACCTAGAAATTTTAGTGTTGAGTGACAGGTGACTTAAGACTTGCTAATGTGAATATGAAATACGAAAAAAGTAAATTAGTTCTATTTGCTCTCCCAAACAAGACTAAAGAGTGAGGATATCCTGATTCCTACGCATCTCACATACTCTTCCTATTCTGTGAATTTTGCTCTTTTGAAAAAAAATATATATGTACAGCCTCCTTGAAGTTACGAATGTCTGAAGATAGTAGATTTCCCCTACCCCAATACTCTTTCCATTGCAGAAGCATGAGGTGCAGAGAGCAATGCTAGGGTAGGGGACCAGTCCAAGATAAGAAAATAGAATGGGTTTTCTGGGTTGCGAATTTTCACTTGTTCAGAATTCAAGAGCGCACAGTGGTCGTAGCAACAGCAGAAACCTCAGAGAATCCTGGGACACTAGAGGTTGAGCAGCAAGCTGCTAAGTGATTGAAAAGAGTGTCTAGTACGGTCACTCTGCACCGCCTACCCACCATGACTGTACCCATGCAGTTTCTGGGGCCCATGCATTATTGCCTTATGATCTATAGTCCTTTTTGCTGTAGGGCTTGTTGCGCAGTATGTTGTCAATCTCATTTACCACATGTGATGTCATCTTAGGGAGGACCTGAGGGGGCGGAGGAGAAGCACAAAGGATGGTGTTAGTGTTGAGTATCCAGCGTTAGGCAGTCACACACACTTGCCAAGTGTTTGCTAGCCAGACCTGGAACGGAGCCCCCCCCCCCATTCCCCACCCTGGACACAGCGTTAAGTCGGGGATCGTGTTTGTTGACTAAAGAAATAGTGGAAACGTAAGTGCAGCCTCATAGCAATACAGAGTAGCTCTATGCAGTGGAAATTCAATGTGAATAATCTGTGTTTCAGTTTTTCCAGCAGGTAAGTCGTCAGTCTTAAAATGTTATAATTAACACATTTTTATTCCATTGTATCCAGCTAACACTTTAATATCTATCATTTTAATTTAGTAATTTTAATAAATAAGTAAAGAAAATTAAGGTACCTTTGGGGTTATTGCTAAGTCCTTCAAATCCTGTGAACATTGTGAGCGCGCACACACACACACACACATCTGGACAGGCCATGACCGTTATTCATGTTCTCAAACAGGCTAGAAGCTTTGGCAGTGGATAGCATTGATCTAGAGACTGGGAATAGAATTCCCAGCTGCTGCTCAGAACTGGGGAAGGATGTTTGCAGCTTACCAGCCCTCCCAGATAGATGGAATGGCATGGACGTGACTAGTGAAATGGAGTGATACCCAGGATAGACTAGTGGAGATGGTGGGAGTAAGGGAGAAGACGCTGGAATGTGTAGGGGAGATATAGTCAGGACTTCACTCTGGGTTGTGGGAGAGCCTCTAAGGCAGCGCTGCAACCCTTTAATACACTGCCTCGTGTTGTGACCTCAATCATAAAATGATTTTTGCTGCTACTTCCTAACTATAATCTTGCTACTGTTAGGAATTATAATGTAAACATTTGACATGAGACCCCTGTGAAGGGCAGTATCACCTCCAAAGGAGTCGAGACCCACTGCCATAAGGACTTGGTCCCATCATCAGATACCCCGGGGAAAGGGATCAGGTGTTAAAACATTACAGTGCAGGACTTAACAAGGCTAGTGACAGTGGGTTAGGAAGGGGGAAGTCTGGGAAGTCACTGTGGAGTAGGATGCCTTGTGTGCATGTGCGGCTTCCTTTAAACTGACTTGCAGGCAGGCAACTCAGGGCCAGCATTTATTATAAGTAAACCCAGAGCACACATTCTACCATGAGACAAGGAACGAAGACCAGCTTTCTCCCTGGAATAGTGTGACCCTGTGTAGAGGCTGGCGAGTTGCAATTAGGATGACCAATTCTGAGGTTTGGGCCTCACCCTTGTTGCAGTCCTGCTGGCCGAGGTGACCTTGTCTTGACACCAGGGCTGGCCTTAGCAGCCCGGGAGCTTGGCGAGATAGTGCAGCTCCTCCGCCTGGGAAACTTGTTCTGGTGATTGTTTTTTTTTCTACTTGAAGCTAAGGAGTTTTGTTTCCCACTAGCTAGCTCTGGAGTCTCAGGTTCTAAATAGCTAATGCTACTCGGAGACTTAACAATGAGATTGGAGATCGGAAAATGGATTTAGTGGAAGAAAAATGCAGTGGGCTAGCCTGGTGAGAGGAAAAAACAAAAAACAAAAACCCAAACTTCATTATGTCTCAAATATGTATCAGCTAGAAACAGTAAAAGTATAAAAGTACTTTGATAAAACATGAAGACTTAGCGTAGTGTTAAAAGTCAAAGTGTTTTCTAAAGGAGCCATTTTGTGTGAAATCACTAAAAACACCGCAGATGCTTTTTTAACATTTTAGGTTATTGTGCAGATTTAATGGGATGAAGCCAGTTGCACAGCTTTTAAGCTATTGTGCAGATTTAATGAGATTGTACCAGTCGTACAGCCTTATTGTTGCACTGCCTGGCAGACCTGATGGTTTAAGGTGAAGTTCGACTTGTGTTGCTGGAACTGGGGGTCATCAGGCAGGTCCTCCAGGACTGTGTTCTTTGGGAATGATGGGGGATTTTGCAGGTTGGACGGTGGTTACTTTGGAGGCGGAGCCTCGATCGCCACTATTTGGCTCTGAACTGTTGTTCCTGATGGCTGATGTTCCTGTGTGTGTGCACGCATGTACACAAGGATGTACACCTGTGCCGTAAACGCATGTTCTGTTGTGCAGCGAAGCTACCACTACTCTCCCAGTCCTCAAGCTTTCCCTTCCTTGGGGCAGCCAGCAACCCCACATTGTACATTTGTAGTCCATCCCATCAGTGTTCGGCTTCCGCGGATACCCAGTCTGCCTTTCGCCACGTCCAGGGCTTCCGTTACATCATGTCTAGACTCTTAGGTGCTGGGGTGAAGGAGGAGGGAGTTTGGTAAGCCCTTGTGCTAGCAGTGAGGCTGCCTGGGTATCACCCCTTCCCCTTTGCCCTTTGAGAATGGACATGCCATTCAGCTGCCAGCCAGAACCTCGCTAGGGAGGAAATGCTCTGGGAATTAAAGTATCCTTTCCCTCAGTGTGCAGTGGTAGGCTCCTGCAACTCTGACAGCTCCGATCCAGGGCTGCTTCCTCATGCCTGTCCTGGCTGTGACTTCCCCTGGGATCCGGCCATTACAGTGCTAGCCTGATAGGAATTTTTTTCTCTTCCTGCCAAGATTTTTTCATCCGCCCTTCCCAAATCTGCAGATCTGGCTGTGATTTCCCCTGGGATCCGGCCATCACAGTGCTAGACTGATAGGGATTCTGCTTTTCTCTCCCTGCCAAGATTTTCGTCTGCCCTTCCCAAATCTGCAGATCTGTCCACTCCACTTCCACTGCCTAGGTGATGACCACAGCCCTGCATCCTGCTTTCCCTGGGGGGCAGCCGCAGGAATCTCAGAACATTCACAATGAAGTGTATCTGCTCTCTCTAAGTCCTATAAAGGATTCTGTACCTACAAGCCATGTTCCCTCCCAGCCTAGCTAGCTTCCTTACGTTGCTCTGTTTATTCCCGGAGTATATTCCTGAGTTTCTCTTCATGCCGTGGGGAGGCATGTAAATCAGTCCAAAGACTCAGAATAAACATCCTATTTAGGGAGGGGGGCTTTTGCAAAGATACTATGTCAAGTAGGCCTGCTTGGTCTTTGGTACAACATTCTGTTTGCTTAGTATCCCTTACAGAATCTGAAATTTTGTACATTTTTATCAGTTTCCTAGCATGCATGTAGACTTGTCGAAGACTGGACAGTATCTTGTGTCCTGTGGTGTTGTCAGTGCCTCACTGTGAGTTCTCCCGAGACTGGCTTTAAAGTGTGGATTTCTTAGTTACCTCTTCCTTAGCCCTCCAGGCATCTGAGGGCAGGATCTCACTCTTAACTCGGCAAAGCTACCTAACTGTCTGGCTTGACGCCGGATGCAGTCAGTACCCCATATATGAGTGGAATTGAAATCCCTGAATTGAACTTTAATTCTTCTGGGTGCAAACTGTGCCCCTACCCTGTCATCTTTGTGTAACTGTATCTTTTGCCAGTGTTTAACTGAAAAATGAAAGAGATGGTTCATTAGAGGGAGCGTTTGCTGCGAAGGGTCAGATCCCACAGAGTCTAGGAGAAACTGTGGGTGGGCAGGGTTTGGAAACAGAGACAATCACCCCTACTGCCCCGTCCCGAGAAAGATGGCTAGGCAAGCTGTCTATACCACCTAAGTGTCCAGTGTATTCTGGTCTGTTTCTAGAAGGGTTTTTTTAAAAAAAATACTCTTGTCTCCACCCTCATCTCTGGCTTTGGGAGGGGCGGCGGGACTTGTCTTAGGAATAGATGGATAGAGGAGAAGCTATGACAGTCTATTCCCCAGAGAGCAAGAGGGAAGCACCTCCCCTTGTTTCAGCAGGTTATGGCTGAGCAGCGGGCAGGCTCCTCCTAGGACTGTCGGCAAGGCAGAGAGGGGCAGGGGCAGGACTTGTGTTCAGTGGTGAAGGAAGGTGTCCATCCCCGTCAGACCACCAACCCCACCCCTTTCCCCCCAAGCATCTTAAGATGTCCTTCCTCTTCCTGCTTCTACGTATTTCCCAGGTGCTGCTGCAGCCTCTCAATCCAGACCCTGGTCTTCAGGGGGATGAGATCCTGAGAGTTCCAAACGGGAATGTATTCCCCCAATTACTTCTGGAGTGGTAACTAAGGGCCGCATAGTAGAAAGTGGGAAATCAGTGGAGAAGAGAGCCGAGAGGTCTCTGACCTTCAGCCTTTCAGTCCCGCAGAGGGCACGGGCAGTTACCAAACCACCGCGTATCCTAAATGGTATGATGAGTGAGCATCGCAGGGTGCTGATAGATGACCGAGAAGGACTCACTTGGCACAGTATGTTGGCCGTAGTTTGTGGCAGGAGCACATGACTAAATGATGTGAGGTTGTCTTCTGAGTGTTAACGTCTCAAGCAGGCAGTTACACATGCTTTTATGGTTCGACCTATGGAAGTCAGTTGTCAGGTATGACATTGGAATTCACTGGCCCACAAAAAAAAGAAAAAATGAGCTGCGGTGGAACCTGAGAAACTTGTTTGTTAAAGCAGAGGACATCCCTAGATCCAGGTTTTGTGTGAGTTGTGCCGTTGCTGCTTATGGCTTTTTGTCCACGGATGCCTTGTCCAGGACACTGCCTGGAGACACATTGTAGCATTCCTGGAATCTGCTAGAAATGGCTGCAATACTTGCCTGAATGGCACCAAGGTTTTCAATGAGTTGCTCAGGAGTGGATGATCCCAGGAGCACGGAACTCACGCCCTCATTTCTCAGGCACCAGGCTGGAAGGAACAGAGCACTGGGTCAGGGTTATTGATAATCTGTAAGCACCAACTACCGTTACAGTCCAAATTTATTAATCTCTCTCTCTCTCTCTCTCTCTCTCTCTCTCTCTCTCTCTCTCTCTCTCTCTCTCTCTCTCTATGTTTCTGTGTCTGTCTCTCTGTCTCTCTCTGTGCTTGTATCAGATACAGGATACATGGTGTTCTCTGGGATTTAAAACTGGGACAGCATCCCTCAGATGTTCAGAAGTTTAATGCAATCAGTCTAGGCATTTGAATAGTAAGTTTGTGGCTCTCTCTGGCTTTCTAGTATTTTGCCCCCAAGTACCAGAGTTCAATACAAGTAGCTACCCATCTCAGGAACACTTTGTTCCTGAAAAATACCCAGTACTGCTCACCAAGGAATAATGTCTGGATTCTTGTTTCTGCCAGGCTCCCTTTCTGTCTTCTACATGGTGTCACTTTTCCTCACCTGTCAACCTTTGCATTGGTTATCTCAGTTGCTTTTTTTTTTTTTTATTTTTAAACCAACTCTCAAAGCCCGAGTCCTTCCTCTCTGCTGTAGCAAATCCCATCAAAACTGAGCCTGTGCTTTCTACTCGACGGTAGTGGAGTGTTCTGGAGAGAACCATGGAATCTCTTGGTTTGGGTGCCTCACATGCCCCCTCCTTTGCCATCTTGATAAACCTCTCTGGCCCTCGGTCATCCCTTTTTCCTCAAATGGCATAAGGCCTACTCTCCTTTGGTGCTGTTCGTTTGTTTTGTTTTGTTTTGAGATGGGACCTCATGTAGCCCAGGCTGATCTCCAACTTGCTGTGATTTTTACGGCTTTCCGGAGAGTGTTGGAATCACGGGGCCCCCGGGGAACACCCCGGTTGCAATGAACACCCTCGCATGGAACTGCCTGTTTCTGCTGGACCTTCCGGCTCCGAAGTCCTGTTACGGCCTCGCTTTGCCGGTGCCATTTGGCTCAGTGTCAGCATCTTGGTCTCTCGTTCTAGAAATCTGGACTCTTCAAGGATTGTCTTTTTCTGATTCTACCTCCCCTTTTAAACTCCGTGTCTGCTGGTTGTCTCTCCTTCCAGTCTCTCTAGCCCACTGGCTTCCGATCCTTGGATGTAGCAGAGTCATGTGGAGGGCTTGGGGCAAACCCTGTCTATGCCTCACAAAAGATTTTTTTTTAGAGACGGGGTTTCTCTGTATTGTTTGGAGGCTGTCCTGGAACTCGCTCTATAGACCAGGCTGGCCTCGAACTCACAGAGATCCACCTGCCTCTGCCTCCCGAGTGCTGGGATTAAAGGCGTGCACTATCAACACCCGGCTCAAAAGATTTTTTTTTTACTTAGAAGATCCTGGCTTGAGATATGAGCTTCTAAGTACTTCTGGATAACTCCCCCCAACCCCAGGCTGTCTTAGAACTTTATTTGTATCCCAGGGATGACCATGACCTTCTGTTTCCCTGTCCCCTACCTCCTGATCCTGGGATGAGAGGCTTGTGCTATTGTCCAGGGTTTATGTGGTATTGAGACTTAAACTCGGACTTCACGAATGTTAGGCAAGCCCTCTGCCAACTGAATTATATTCCAGCCTGAGAATTTAAACTTTTAAGGGGAAGTGGGGGGAGCATTATTGAGGTAGAAATTAACTTATCAAAAGGAATCTTACCCGTTTTAAAGTGTACATTAACTACCTTTTAAAAAGCTTACCAGCCCTCAGCGATTTTAGAGCATAACCATTGCTGTTTTAAATTCAGTTTTAGTAGAATGTTCCCATCCCTGATGCCTGCAGGCATCGATTGATACCTAGTCCTACTTCAACCCTAGGCAGTCACTTACTGGTTTTTTTTTTTTTGATCAGATTTCCGAATATTTCATTTAAATAGAATAAAGACATTGTCTTTTGTATTTGGTCTCTTTCACTTTGCATGCACATGTCCTCCAGGTGCTTCCGTGTTGTGGGGTGTATCCTTTTCCTTGTTTCGTAGTATTTTGTTGCGTAGACACTTGAGGATCACCGCTCTGGTCCATCCGTCTTCTGCTGACACTGTCCTCATTCAGCCTCCAGTAGCTCTCCCTAGAATCACTGGTTTTCCTACTTTTATTTATTCATTTATTTTTGGCTTGGGCTGCCCCTCCCCTCCCTTAATACAGATCCCTCACTCCCAGCTGCAGCCTCCCTAGTACGACGTTTCCTGACGTCAGCCCGTACCTGACAAGACCACTTTCCTTTAAGACGACATGCATTCCTTACCCTGGCAGATCGTAGTTTTTGATTCTGCCGCCACTCCAGCTTCAAGGTTCCCTGCCCGGACTTGCTTTGTTAATCTCCGTTCCTAAACATCAGTGATGTCCCCTCCTCTGGGAGCCCCTGGCCTGGAATACACCTTAGCCCTCACCTTTTCCTTTGCCTCATTAACGTCTCATCCCCTGAAGTTCCCGGCAGTCCTGCCTTCTTTGGAAAGCCTACCCTGAATTCCAGGCCAGCTCGTGTGCCCTGCACATTAACCCCCTAGCCCCACATCCTTCTCAGAACTATAAACCCTGTACTCACATCGATGCACTCTCTTAACTTGCCCATTAGGCTGTGGGATGTGGTTCTCTTGAACTGGATGCTCAGCAGCCCACTCCATACCCGGCTCACGGGACCCTCTTAATTAAATGTTTGCTGGAGAAACATGAGCATAGGTGATTGATTCATCTCCAGCACGTCTGCCTCCTTTAGCTCAGCTGCTGTCAGCCGGTCCTCTGAGCTGTTTCCAGGACTGAGCCTTTGAAGCAATCAATCCCTGAATCCTTTAGGTGGTCATGTTAGATGCTCTCTCCGCACTCCCCCCCCCCCCCCTTGCTTTATTACCGTCTCCCTTTGCATTCAGAATTCCCTTTGCAGCCGGTGGAAGTTCAGTGCAAAGCAGTGAACCTGTTCCAGCAACACTTGATTCCTCCAAGGGCTGCGGGTCTAAGAGACCCTGTTTTGCAGAGCTGGCCAACCCATGGGGAGCACCTGCAGCTGATTCTTCATAAAAAGCCCGTCTAACTGGGCGTCACGGGCAAACACATCCATGTTGCCTGTTAGCTGCCAGTGAGCCGAGTGCTGCTTCCTGGGCAAGTGCGACCTGGGAGTACCGTGCAGATCCAAGCAGTTCGTTTCCTGCTGGAAGCCTCCCCCGCCCTGAGTCACAGGCTGTCCTTGGAGATCAAAGACAGTAAGTTTGGAATTCATTCCTTTTCGGGTCTGATAATTCCGTGGAGTAAAAACAACTACTTGTTTGGAAAGCCAAGAAGATGACAAGCAAGAAAAACATCGATGGAAATGCCTCTCAGCCTTCCTCATGCTGCAGCCCTTTCATAAAGTTCCTCATGTTGGGGCGACCCCCAAGTAAGATTATTTTCGTTGCTACTTCATAACTGCAATCTTGCTGCCGTTATGAATTATAGTGTAAATATAGGATATGCAGGATATCCGATATGCGACCCCTGTGAATAGTCATGACCCGCAGGTTGAGAACCATTGATCTAGGGCCCAGAAGGAAGGAAGGGAGGAAAAGACAGCATGTATCCATTTAAACCCAAGCTCTGTACAAAGAGTACGTCATGGATCTCTAACATCCTGAGAAGTCTAAATTTTTAAAAGGTTTCCTCTCTAGGAAGATACTCTTCTGTTTCTTCCAGAGTTTAATATTAACCATTTTGGTATTTGTGGGGAATTGGTTCCAACTTCCCCGCAGTGCAGGCACCCTCAATTCTGTTTTATAAAATGGTACAACATTTGCATACACATTCTGTATTCTTTAAGTCATCTCCATATTTCATATAATGCCTAATATAATGTCAACGGGTGGTTGATTTTGTGGGTATGGAGGGCCAAGTATACTCAATTCATATTGCCACCTAAAATCTTATTTACAACAGTAGAATATATCTTTCTTGTGTGTGTTAAGAAAACCTCAAGCCTAGGATGTCTAGTTCTATGGCTTCTGGAGATGGAGATGAGATTCAGGTCGTTAGCCTTGGCACTACCCAACAGGCCATCCCTCCAACTTTCGTTTCCATTTTGCTAGTACTGTTTGCTGTGATTTTTAAATTTCTAACCACAGGGGAGCCAAGCTATCAACAAATACTCTGTCACTTATTTGCACAGGCCTTACCCTGGGGCTGTTTGTCTCTCTGGGCCAGTGTTTCTTATTTGCTGCTGTTTCTCATTAGGATCCCTCCCCCCCGCCCTGGAATTAACGCCTATTCTATTCCTTTCTCAGTTACCATGCCAATTGTAAGTAAATCATCCAGTTACATTTGTGAGACAGGGTTCCTCATAACATGTACCTCACAGGATTGTTCTGAGCCTAAGAAGGTAAGACAATGACTGTGAAGTGTATATAACACAGCCTGGCACTCCCCTAACCCCTGCAAGTGTGAATGCTTTTGTATCAATTGGGGGGGGGTCACTAAATATGTGTGACTATTGAGTCCATGTTCAGGCTGAAGGTGCTTCCTATGTAAAATATATGCTGTACTTTGAAAACAGGCTGAAAAAGAGTATTTTTAAAACCTCATTAATTTTTCTATATGTCAAAATGGTAATCTGGGGGCAAATGGATTATTAAAATTAACTTCACCTCTTCCTGTTTTACTTCTAAAATATTTTTAAAAGGTGTGTGTGGCCGGGCGGTGGTGGTGTATGCCTTTAATCCCAGCACTCGGGAGGCAGAGGCAGGTGGATCTCTATGAGTTGGAGACCAGCCTGGTCTACAAGAGCTAGTTCCAGGATAGCCTCCAAAGCCACAGAGAAACCGTGTCTCCAAAAACAAAACAAAACAAAAAAGTGTGTGTGTGTGTGTGTGTGTGTGTGTGTGTGTGTGTGAATGTATGCCATGTGTCCTTAGGTGCCCGTGGACGCCAGAAGGGGGTGTTGGGTCCCCTGGAGCTGGAGTTACAGAGGCTTGTGAGTTGCCAGACATGAGTGCTGGGAATCGAACTCTGGCCCTTTGGAAGAGCAGCGAACACTCAGAACCACTGAGCCGCCTTTCCAGTGCCTGTGTGGCTTTCTTACTCCAGCCACAACAAAATAAGGACTTCCCGCTGTGTTTTAATGGGCAGTGCCAGTGCATGTGGTTTTGGGGTGGCTATGACCTTTCACGGGCCACACAGCATGAGAAGAACAATTTTCATGGCTGTTGGTTGAAAAGTTTCCAGGGGAAGCTGCCCTTGCAGTATCAGCTTTCAGTGCGGCAGGAGCCAAGGGTCTCTTTGTAGCCCTGTTTCTCAACCTCTTACCAACCTTAGCTCGGTGTCAGCCGGGGAAGGAGCCTGAGCCAGAAGAAATGGGTGTCATTGTGTAATGACACAGTTCACCTCAGACACTTGAATATGTATGTATTTCCTTTTAAAATTTTTATTAAATTTTCTTCATATAATACGTTTCATTATTTCCCTCCCCTCAACTCCTCCCAGGTCTCCCCTGTCTGTCTCTCTCTCTCTCTCCCCACCTAACTTTGTTTTCTCTCTCGTTGTATTTTCACCAATGTGTTCTCACGTAACATCTTATAAGGAGAAAGGGAAGAAACAAGGTCGTAGCATACAGACAATTCTGGGAAGCTTTGAATAACTGGCTCTCTGCTGCATGTACCAGAAATGGATGCTCCTGAGATCAGCCTGCCCCCACAGTCGACATGTTACCATGGCAGGATGTGGGTCAGCCACAGAAAAGTACATCTGTAGTCATCTCAGTGAAAGTTGCCCCCAATCCAGACCCGCTCTGCCATCCCCTGGTAATTTCTCTTACCCACAGCCAGCTGAGGCAGTGTGCATCCCAGACGCTCAGCGATCGGAGAAAGGTCTTTGAGCTTGTTTTGTTGCTTTCTCCCTTCTTCACTTACAATTCTTTCCTTCAACCACTGGTAGCACTGGGGACAACAGTAACACGTCAGCAGCAGTGTCTCGTATGGGTGTGATGTCGAAAGTTGTTAATTCAATAGAATATAAGGAGGTCAGGGTGAGGCTGGAGAGAGGGTCATCAGTTTAGAGTCTCTCTCTCTCTCTCTCTCTCTCTCTCTCTCTCTCTCTCTCTCTCAGCACAAGAGTTTGATTTCCAACACCCACATCAGGCAGTTTACAACCACCTATAATTCTAGCTCCAGGGGATCTGATGATACCTGAACACACACTCACACACACACACACACACACACACACACACACACACACACACACACACAGAGCTTTGTTTTAGGAGAGCTTTCTGCCCCCTGAAGATCATTGTTTTGCATTATTGTTACAACTGTCATCTCTTTTACCTTATTCCATCCTTAACCTCGTTGCCCTTTTACAGTATTTTATCTGTGTGTATGTTCCTATGTGTGCAAATGCCCTTAGAGGCCATAAGAGGTTGTTAGGTCCTTAAGAGCTGGAGTACCAGGCCGTTCTGAGCCACTCAACATGGGTTCTGGGAACTGAACTCAGGTTCTCTGCAAGAGTAGCAAGTGTTTGTAGTCACTGGACCACCTCCCTAACATAATAACATGACAATTACAATAATTGCAAGAATGATATTATTATTATGGGGATTTTGTATTGACTTCCTATTGTGGTTGGTTTTAATGCCATAAATTAGAATCAATAGAGTAGGTGTTTAAAAGACAACCCAGGAAACTACTCTTTAAAACATGAGACAAGACTGACTGTGACTATTGAGTGAGTTTACTTTCCCAGATATGAAAAGCCTTTGAGAATTTCTCATTGCCCCTACTTTGCCGAAGGCTCTGCTCTTACAGAAGATGGGAATTAACTCTCTACTATGCAAGGCCAGTATCAACCAGCGATAGCTGAAGGGAAGGCGTGAGGAGTGTCTGTTAAGAACCTCCCTCTTTTCCTTGCAGCCCTGGATCAGAACCTTCCCAGAGGCAGCAGGAAGCTGGGCAGTTGGCAGTTGGCCATAGGCACCCTTCCCAAATGATTTCAATAGGCTGCTGGCTTTTGTTTCATTAAGTATTTTTTTCATCACTCTAAGAATTTCCGAAGAAAGGGATAACCACGTTATGTTTCATTGTGATTTTTGGAATAATCTTGCAGATGTGGAAAAGGAGAAGGGCAAGCCGCCCCAGTTCTCCCAACGGTCTGGCTCCTCATTTGGGACTTAGCTTGGGGAAATGGCCAAAGCTTTCCCGGCTTCGGCCTTGGGAAGTCTCTGATTCTCCCAGAGGGGATGGCCGTGAACAACGAGCTCATGGTTAGGGCCCAGGCAGCCTTCTTGAACCAGGCCGCTGCCTACATCTGACATCCCTGAACAGCCGTGGGTACCCGAAGTGGGGAAATATCCTTAATTTCCTGATCTTTCAGGGAAGCGATATCTCTGAATGCGACTCAAACACAAAGTGAGAAAGTAATAGACAGATGCCTTTGAACAGATTTTTAAAAAGTAGTGTTCCTGAGATTTCCACATACACCATGCACATTAAGAATGCTTGATTTATGTTTTATAGAACTACTCTATTTTTGAAACGTATGCAATAAACTATTTTTCTCAAGATTGGAATGCACAGTGTGTGTGTGTGTGTGTTGCACACACATCAACCATATTGAAAGACTTCTAAGAGTAACCAGCGACGAGATGACTCAGGGGGGTACAACACTTGCTGCACAAGACTGAGCTGAAGGCCCGAGCTCGGATCCCCAGCACTCATGCAGAACTGGGGATGATGTATGCGCCTGGAATCCCAGCACTCCTCCAGTGAGATGGGTGGCAGACACAGGAGAGCTCCAGAACCTCATGGACCAGCTAGCCTGATGCACATGGGAATGAGCAGCAGCAGCAACAAAAAAGAGAGACCCTGTCTCACAAGACAGGTGAAGGCCCACCCCGGAGGTTGTCTTCTGGCTGCCACGAAAGCACAGTAGTGTGTGTACTTCCACACTTACAACACCTTCTCTTCTGACTCTCAGTGCCACACGTTTCCCTGTTGCCATAATCAGTGGAATGTGTAGGGAGTTAGGGTTTAAAAAGAAAATACGATGCTTATACTGCTTTCCGAATACAAAAGGAAACAAAGTTTTGTTTTTGTTTTTTTTTTAATTAATAGCTTTAACTTCGTTTGGAACGGGAAAATGTTGACAGTGCAAAGAGATGAAATATATAATTGAAATATTAATTATGGAAGTGACCCCGGGTTTTTGCAAGAAGATTGATGGTGAGCATGGTTGCCAGTCTGTGGACGGCACCGCGCTGTGGACTCTGTTGCTCCGTCGTGTTCCCCTTGACATGAGTGCCTCTGTGGAAGTCCCTGAGATGCTTCTTGGACATCAGGGTTATCCCACTGGTCTCTGTATCCCCAGCGACCAACACAGTAATATTTGCCAACGTACTAAATAATTTATCTTACGTTTTGGGTTGTCACGTTCATCCAGTCAGCATTTATTGCATCGTTCTAGGCTCTGTGACTGGTTAGAGAGATTTAGCGTCTTCTTTAGAAGCATCCACAAGTCACAGGGCAGGAGAGATGGCCTCGGGTTAAGAGCACTGACTGCTCTTCCAGTGGTTCTGAGTTCAACTCCCAGCAGCCACGTGGGTGGCTCACAACCATCTGTAATGAGATCTGGTGCCCTCTTGTGGTCTGCAGGCATACATGCAGGCAGAACATTGTATACACGATAAATAAATAAATCTTAAAAAAAAAAAGGCACCGACAAGTCATTGTCTAGGAACTCAAGTGTTTTATACCTGAGCGATCTTCCTGCTTCAATGATTTCCTCAGGAGCCATGCTTGTAACACCTTTACGGAAAATTCTCCAACAAAATGGTACATGGCTGAGCTGAGCTAAGCTATTTTCCTCTTTCCGCTACTGTTTCCGGTCTCACAGGTTGGGCACTGCCTAACGTTGGCCATTCTTTCTTGGTCTGAAGCTAGTAAATCAAAGATCTCTTTTTCTTCTAGGATGCATTCTCCTAGGGATGCGGCTACCAGTTTTCCTGATCGCGGCTTCACTGGCAAGATTCAGGCGTAGGGGGAGAAGGTGGTATACCCATATCGGATATAAGTAGAGGAGACAGAGGACAAATCATGTTCAAGTCCGTGGACATATCGCTCCTGCCCCATGTCCCACTCCATCCTCAAGGGTTGTCTTGTGACAACAGAGTTCCCTGGATGAGGTTGTTCCCATCCAGGTCTGTCCCTGGCAGCCAGGGAGCCCCAAGTCTCTGTAAGAAGTGTTGATGGAATACATAGAGACAAGTACAAATAACTCAATAACTTTATGAAGCTACAGGCTTTGTTCTCGAGGATAAGATGGGAAAGCCGCAGGAGGATGAAAAGGACACTTCTGGGAGGCAAAGGAGGGCACGGTGTAATTGGGTAGGAATTGAAATAACTTTTTTTTTTCTTGTGGGGCAGTAGAGACGAGTCTGAGAAACAGACTCCACTTAGATTCCAAGAGGATTTGGGATTCGTGAAGTCATGGAAGCATTTTGAAATGGATTATGACACGGTCTTTTTTTGTTTGTTTGTTTGTTTTTACGAGACAGGGTTTCTCTGTATTGTTTTGGAGGCTATCAGTCCAGCCCGGCCTCAAACTCACAGAGATCTGCCTGCCTCTGCCTCCCGAGTGCTGGGATTAAAGGCGTGCGCCACCACCGCCCGGCATGAAACGGTCTTTTTAGAAAGAGAATTGACCGCAGGGGTGGACTGTTGAGAAGAGGGAGGAAATAAAAGCAATCCAAGTTCACTCCTGCAGTAAAGCTGCTAAGGAACGATGAAGACCTATATCAGGGCTGTGCAGGGGTGAACCTGAGTGGCAGGATGCGGCCTGGAGGATTTGGAGCCTTGCCAGGCAGGGGGAGGATGAAGAGGCTGCAATGTGGGTAGCACTGTGACATCTGGTCAGGATGGCTATATCGGGTCAGGATGGCTACATCTGGTCAGGATGGCTACATCTTGGGCAGAGGCGCACTACTGACCTAAAGCAGAGTGAAGTTTGGGCAGAAGGGTTTGCGGGTAGATTGTATTAGGCTTAACAGATCCCAAGGGACATCTATTAGATTGGAAGAAGCGGTTTGCATCTTAACAGTGAAGTCAGAGTTGATGACATGGAGACAGAAGTCATTGTTAGAGGGATGAGGCCAGCCAGAAGAGGTTGTCCAGAAGATTCCCTGGATAATCTTGTTTACTGAAAGAGCCCTTGAGATTCATTTAAAAAAATGATTGATTCTTCAATAGTAGTTCAGTATAGCGGGCACAAAATAATATTAGTATTTCAGTGATAATAATAACAACAGGCAGTGTTACACGAACCGTTTGGAGGGCTGTGTTAAAAATTGCCAGTGTATCCAGTCTGCTTGTCTCTAATTTTTTTATTAACTCTATAATGTCCTGAAGATGTCCTTCCATTTGCTTCTTTCATTTTTATTTTCATTTTTCGCTTTGGTAGTTCTGCCTAAGTGGCTTTCCCAAGGACAGGCAACGTTGCTCTGAAAAAACGCTCGAGTGACAGTGCAGAGCCTAGAGAGTTCGCGGTAGTCTGCAGCCTGGCCCTTCCCAGAACCTTTGCCTCGGGCAGGTTCTAAACGTTTCCTGTGAATGTTCCAGAAGTGTCTACTTGATTGACTTCATGAACGCCAACCAAGCGATTCCCCAGTTACTTTCGGATTTAGCCACAGTCAGACCTTTTGTGTATCTTCCCCAACCCTTTCCTACTTTGGTGAGTGCATTTGCGGTTGTTTTCCATCCCTGCGTGAGCTTCTTGATCAAACAGTGACAGAGGCTGCACAGTCGTGAGGTCCAGATACAGCACAACTCCTGCTTCCCTTAAAGACCTCTGGGTGTGAAAGGAAACAGATGACTGGGCTCTCAGGTCAGCTCTGTCTGTTAGGAGTTTATGGTCTTAATGCTGCCTAATGTCCTTAGGCTTCATTCAGTCTCTGCCTCCCGCAGAAAGCCTGCCCCTTGCAGGATCACTCTGAGAACAAATAGCCCACATATGGGAAGTGCTTTGAATTCTTTTGGAAAGCCTATGAAAGAATATACAGATGGTCTCCAGCTTAAAATGGTTGGACTTAGGATTTTCTTACTAGTATGCAAAAGTTGCATCAATATAACCTGTTTTTTTTTACTTGCAGTTCAATATTCAATAAATTGCCTGAGATAGTCAACTCTTTATAGTATAAAAAGGATTTAAGGATTTGTATTAGTTTTTTTTTCTTTTTTTTTTTACAAGATAAGGTTAGGCTAAGCCATGATATTCAGTAGGCTAATAGCCATATATAGTGCATTTTTGGAAGGACATTTTGAGTTTATAATGTGTTTGTCTGGGCATTACCCCATCGTAAGTAGGGGAATCTCTATATAGCAACTTAGCCACAACTGATTGCAAGCTGTCTGTGTCTGTTTCTCATTGTGAAGATCAAAGGAAGTAAAAGGTAACTCCTAGCTCACTGCTTGGCACATAGTAGGTGCTCAGTAAAAGCTCAGTTCTCAGAACTTCCTTTTTCTGCATGCCCTTCTTGCCTTCCTCTTTTTTGCATCCTTGCCTAAAATGCTTTTAGTTTTTCTTCTTTTCCCCATTTTTAAAATTTAAATTGGAAACAATCTTATTTTATATATCAATACAAGTTCCCTCTCCCTCCCATCCTCCCAAGTCCCCCGCCAACCCCCATGCCATCCCTCTTCTGCTCCATAGAAAGGGTGAGGCCTTCCATGGGAGACCATCAAAGTCTGTCACATCATTTGGGGGCAGGGCCTACCCCCTCTCCCGTGTGTCTGGGCTGAGAGAGTACCCCTCTTTGGGGAATGGGCTCCCAAAGTCCATCAGTGCACTAGGGATAAATGCCGTTCCACTACCAAAAGCCCCGTAGACTGCCCAGGCCTCCTCACTGACACCCATGTTCAGGGAGGCTGTGTCGGTCCTATGCTGGTTTCCCAGCTGCCAGTCTGGGGGTCCGTGAGCTCCCCCTTGTTCAAGTCAGCTGTTTCTGTGGGTTTCCCCAGCCTGGTCTTGACCCCTTTGCTCATCACTCCTCCCTCTCTGCCACTGGATTCCAGGAATTTGACTCAATGCTTAGCTGTGGGTGTCTGCTTCTGCTTCCATCAGCTACTGGATGAAGGCTCTAGGATGGCATATAAGGTAGTCATCAACCTCATTATCAGGGAAGGGCATTTAAGGTAACCTCTGCACTATTGCTTAGATTCTTAGTTGGGGTCATCCTTGTGGATCTCTGGACATTTCCCTAGTGCCAGATTTCTCTTTCAGCCTCTCTTAAGGTAAGAGAGAGAAGGGGAGAAGAGGAAGGGGGGGAGGAAGACATGAGGGACCAAGAAGATTGAGTTCAGGGGAAGAATAGAGGGGGTGGGGGGGAATAGAGGAGAGCAGGGAAAGAGATGCCTTTCATTTTTCTTCATGGACTTGTTTAGAATTTGTTCGGAACAACCCTTCAGTTTTCAGGAACAAGATCTCATTAAATATTCTGAGATAACTGTGCTTTGGGGTAATTAGAAATGAGAACACTGTCATGTCAGCATGCCTTGGTGGATATTTCTGTCTTGTGACTTCAGAGAACAAACAGGCTAGAAGCTCAACTCGTGTAGTCAGAAAGGCCTAGAGCCTAGAGAGTTGGGGAAGTGTCTGCGGTCAGCTGTCCTGCCCCATCTGTAACAGCACCCCCCCCCCCAGTACACTGGTAAAGGGCTGGGCTCGGCTTAGGCTGTTCTGCTGGCTAACAGAGGCTGGAGCCTGGGTCGGGCGTATGCTTCTTCTTAAGATGGCTTTGGCTTGTCTGAATTTTTTTTTAAGACTCCTGTATTCTCTCTCCCTTGACATCACAGAGTAGTTTGTGATTCTAATGCCATTGCACGTTCTCTCCAGCTCCTAAAGCACAGAAACCTTGTTGTCAATAACGAAAGATGTTTGTAGTACTCCCCAATAAGTTAAGCATCAGGAAGGGGGTCTAAGATGGGACTCGGCAGTGAGGAGTAAATGTGGTCAAAGTAATATGATACAGCCCAACGAAAATGCCACTAAGGAGCCCACCACGGTTGTACAATACATATTGACTTAAAGAGATAAAACTAAAAACACCCATTGGGCAGAGTGGAGGCTGGTGATGATGTGGGCAGTTTCCATCTCCCGAGGCTCTCTTTCTTTACCCTCCCCCCAAATGCAGCAGGGAATGTTAAGCCAACCTCAAGCCGTACCCAGCCGAAGCTGCTTGCTTCAAATGGATTAGGCCCTTGCATGGCTAAGTTTTGTTTTCTCAAGAAAAGGAAAATTAAATCCTCTTACATAGAAAAGGGATTTAAAATTTTGTCACTTCCAGACAAGGAATGAAATACCTCCTTCAACATAAGAGTAAGTAAGAATGTGGGGGATTTGAGTCTGCAAGTCAACGAGGTCACTGGACACTTTTCTTTCCTTCCTCAGAGACGAATTCTCTGTGCAGGCAGATCATGAACTCTCTGTGCATGCAGATCATGAATTCTGTGTGCAGGCAGATCATGAAGGGCTGACTGATCTTTCGCCAGCAGCAGAGACCTGGGCAGGGCTGAAGGGCCCTGCCAGAGGCGATGGTTGGCCAAGGCCACTGTGTGCTTAAGCTGGGAAGACCCTGGGCCTCCGCTCTGCTCCTAATCCATCTTCCCTTCTGCCCTCCCGCTGGGGACTCTTTTCTAGAAGTTGAGGAAAATACCTTCAGTGAAGCTCTAGAACTTTCTGGCACGCCGTTTCCATATTTTCCTGAAATAATTCCACAGGCAAGCGGAGACCATGTCATTGCACCAACCCCTATGGGGAGGAAAAAAAGAAAACAACAAAAAACACACGATCACAGAAAACTACCTGTGCCACTTGGGACCAAAAGTGAGGGCGTGTTTAGACAGAGCCCCGCCAGTTCTAGAGGAAAGCTGGCCAGATAAATGAGTTCATAACAGCAACCCGTCTTTCCATTACAACTTAGGACTTACAAATTGTGCCTCGTTCTTTTACACACCAATTAAACATGCACTATCTGTTCTTGGGAGTGAGCCATGCAAGTGGACCCGGAAGTACGGCCTATCCGTGACCTTTTTTCATGGCCACAATTCACAGGCCGAGAGATAAGAGCTCTGGCTCGCAAGGAGAACCAGCCCTTGCTTCGCTTATCCACCAGTGCCTGGCAGTACCTGGCGCTTAGCGGGAGCACAGCTGCCACTCGGCAAGTGCCTGGCGTGGGACAGAAACGGCACCGGCTATTGCTGAACTCCGTACTGTTTACAGTTCAGCATCTGACAATTACTTTTAGGGAAAAAAGTTATCTCTGGAAACCGCTTTGGCGTCTAAGCCAGGATAAGGGGGCGCGGGGGAGGGAGGTGTCTTATTGATGTGTTTAATATCTTTAAAACTCTTCCTGTTTGCCTTGTGTCTGTGTCCCCGCCCCACATAATCAAATTGCTCTGATTTGTTAACTGCTGTGGAATCCCTTCTGTCTTACCCAGCCGCAGGCCCCGCGTGGGAGACATGGGGTGTCTATACGCTTTTGAACTCAGTCTATTCACAGACAAATGCATGCGTGTGCCAGAGCAAGCACCCATGCAAATCAAGTCTACCCACCAGATCCTGGTTGTGTGCACCTATGCAAATCGAGTTATCACCCGATGGATCCTCTTTGTGGTGCCTTTGTTGAACCCCGCTCCACTCACCCCACCCCCCGCTGAGTGTGCGTATATGACAGTCGATTCACAAGTCTGCAATTGTCACCACAGGACCTTGTGGACTAACTGTGGTCCCACCTGATTCTGCCGCAACCTCTGAAATGCATAGTTCTTGTCATTTTCTCTGTTGCATTAATTAGGGACATTTTGGGAGAGCATTTTCCTAACATCTCCTCCCCCCCCAACCACCGGTTCCCATATCGTGAGGAACGGTCAGATGTGATTTTGAAGATTACCTATTTTGTGGTAGAGCTCTGGCAGCTGGACCTCCACCTTCTCCCTCTGGAAAAGATGGTACTCGGCTTGCTCACAGACGGGTGGGATCATGTTGAACTGCCGTGCGACAGAGTAGGCTTCCTAGGGACGGAAGGGATTGCTACTGAGTTTATGCCAGCGAGCACTGGGCCTTCGTCGACTTATTCCCGTGGGGGTGCTCATTTCAGTGGAGTAAATGTGGATCAAGGAGATAAGCCAGACACGTGCAAAGTTATGGTCACAATTTTCACCAAGAGAGGTACCAAATGTGGGAAATCCTTCTTCTTTGGGAGGGTTGAGACTGAGTAAAGTCTGGGGCAAATTAGTCAAGGCTTGAATTACAGACTGTTATAAAGAAGATACTATTTGAATATGGCTAGGTTCTTAAAGAGATAAAACCCAGACGGAACAGTCCGATAAAAGCGATCTATCGGTGGCAATAAGCTTATTATAAGAAAGCTAGGATACTCTATTCCCATATCTCATTCGCACTGAAACTCTCTCTGCCCCTTGCCAGCAAAGGACATGCTAAAACATGATTCCTATTGGAGATCTGCCTTCTTGTGTTTATTCTAAGCTGTTGGGGCTCCAGCCCTGACAGCCATCTCTTTAGAATTCCACTGCTATTGTGAGAAAGGTCTGCAGAAGATATTGCAACTTAAACATGGCATCTAAAAAAACAAACAATGCTACAACACTCAGCAGCTATTAGAACTAGAGGTTAACTCACCATGATCTCCATTGCGCTCCACCTCGAGGTGCCCCAGTACATTGCCATGCCTTGGTTGATGACGTGTGTCATGGCTCGAACAATTTCTACGGGAACCCAAACAGTATCTCATGAACACCTGCTTTACAGAGCAATGTGTTTCCGCCCCCCTCAACTCTCTTCAGAAGTTAGAGATTCAATGTAATTGTTTGGTTAGCATTACTCTTAGCCCTGGTAGCAACATACATTCACCACCGATGGCGTGGAGGCTCGACAGTGACGTTTGGGTAAACCGCCCCTTCATTTTCAGTTTGCAACAATGCTAAACAGTTTTTAAAAAATGTAGTGACCCCCATAGGTTCTTCCTTTACTTTGCTTGATGGCTCTTGTTCTGATAAAGGAACTGAGTATCCTGTTCACAAACCAAGGGAGGGAGGGAGGGAGGGAGGGAAGGGAGGGAGGGAGGGAGGGAGGGGAAGCGTTTGTTTCTGACCGTAGAATGTACGGTCATAGAGGATGAACAGCCTGTCCCTTCCGTATGGTGGATTTGCAGAGCTGTTCCTTATCCTCAGTAGCCGTTTAATAGAGATGACTCAATAACTGTGTCTAACCGGAAGATAAACATATAAAACGGCCGAACAAACAGCTGAAGCCACAGGGACGCAGAGCCCACTTTGACACGCCCTGTCCATGACTGCTTTGAACTAAACTTTCTTCTAAGATGCCCGCCCGTGTAATTGATTTCACCAGGGCCTGTTTGTGGGCCCACCCAGTTTACACTAGCCTCTTTCAGCTTAACATCACATTTTCTGATCAGGAAGATTAATCCTCTCCCCATGGGGTGGAGCTAAGCTAATCCTCTTGGCACCAGCCAGATGAGCTACAGGACTTGGAGGCACAAGGAGCCTCAAGTTCAGGCTAGCCAGATCCTCAGACAGCATTGGATTTCTTTTGCTTCCACGAAGCATGTTAACTACACTCCTAGGACACCAGATCTCTGGACATATTTAAAGGGTCAAGGTCTTGGACTTCTCTATGTCTCAATAATACATAGATTAAATGTCCTTCACAACAGAGTTCTTGCTCAACATATAATTTGGGTAAAGACATTCCAATCTCTCTCTTTTTTCTTTTTCTCTTCCCCCTGCCTCCTTCCATCTTTTTTTTTCTCTTTCTTTTTTCTTGCTCTTTGAGACAGAGTGTCACTGTAAAGCCTTGACTGACCTGGAATTCACCTACGTAGAACAGGTTGCTCTTGAATTTATAGCAATCCTCTAGTCTGCCTCCTGGGTGCTGTGATTACAGATGTATGCCACTATACCCCACTTGGGGTAGTCTTATTTGTGTTTAAGTTGATGCAGCAGGATTTGGATTAAGAGAGCCAAGGTTAGGTGGAGTCTTAGCATCTTTGTTATTTGGCTTACATGCGCTATTTTAAGATTCCCTTGGCTTGTTTTGAAGATGGGATCGCTTTTATTCACTATCGTCTAATAGAATTTGGCTTATTAGCTAAACACTTTTTCTTATGATCAGTGTTTTATCCCAGCACCTAACTTTGTTTATTTATCCCTTGCTAAACAAATGTGATTAAAAACTGTAAGAAACTTTTCTACTCTCCTTTAAAGAGCACACAAACGATCCTTTATTGTACAGGATTGTTTTTGGCTATCCTGGGTTTTTTTGCTTTTCCATATGAAGTTGAGTATTGTTCCTTCAAGGTCTGTGAAGAATTGTGCTGGGATTTTGATGAGGATTGCACTGAATCTGTGGATTATTTTTGGAAGGATTGCTATTTTTACTATGTTGATCCTACTTATCCAAGAGCATGGGAGGACTTGAAGTTCTTGTCATACAGTTCTTTCACTTGTTTTGGTTAGTGTTACCCCGAGATATTTTATGTTGTTTGTGGCTACTGTAAAGGGTGATGTTTCTCAGATTTCCTTCTCAGCCCACTTATCATCTGTATATAGGAGGGATACTGATGAGGAACCTGCTTAAGACTGAACTAGACTCCCTTAATATAGGTGACAGTGGTGTGACCCGGACAGTATATGAGGCTACTGGCTGTGGGACCAAGATCTAACTCTAATGCACAATATGACTTAGTGGAGCCCATTCTATATGGAGAGACACCTTGCTCAGCCTAGACACAGGGGTGTGGGGGGTGGAGAGGAGCCTTGGTCCTGCCTCAACGAGATGATGGGACAGACTTCCTAGACTTCCTAGGGGAGGCCTTACCCTCTCTGAGGAGCAGATGGGAGGTGGGGGGGGGCTGAGTGGGGGGGAAGATGGAGGAGAGGGAGGAGGGGGACCTGGGATTGGAATGTAAAAAAATAAGTGAATAAAAAAATAATAAAAAAGAGCACACAAATGGAGATCATTCAAGGGTCCTGGAAGCTGAAACCGTTTGCATCTTTGCCATAGATGAACCAGCTTCATCGTTGCAGCAAGTCCTCTCCTGCTCATATGCCATTTCTTCCAGAGCCGGGAGCCCCTCCAGTCAGCATGCTCCTTAGCACCTGCTGTTCTGGGAGCTGGCCGTGCTGAGGTGTGCCAGGCATGTGGGTAACACTGAGGAGGTTCACAGAGAGCAAGCTGAAGCAGAAGACGCCCCTGTCTGCTCTTCACAGACAAAGAGAAGAAGAGGACAGAGCAGCCAGGTGGCCAGGCCACGGGAAGCTACTGAAGCCTGGACCAGAGCAGTTAAGGTGATTCTTCGAAGGCTCATTCATTTACTTGTTGAACGCACTTATGTGAAAGCCTGATATTTGCCACACACTGTGTGTGTGGAATCCCAGATTCATCTGTTAGTAAAACGAAGTTCCTAGACTCGGGGAGCTTAGGCTTGGACGGCAAAGACGGAGAAATAAAGATGGGATTATGAACGCAGAGTGTTACAGAAAGATGCAATCTGGATGAGTTAGGGCTAGGGGTGGTCTCACTCGGGAGTTAACGCCCAAGTATTAAAATGAGGAAATCTGTGTGAGGCATGGGAGAAGACACATTCTAGGATGAGGGGACAGCAGGGGCTAGGGCCCTGAAAGCAAGACGGAGCTCAGTGGGTTCCAGTGATCGAAACAGAGCTAGGAAGCAGAAACCCAGCAAGGACAGGACAGGAGTTTGAGATCAAGTTTGGCAGAGGGCAAGCCAAACTGTGAGTTACTGCCATTTGTAGGCAAGGGCATGAGAGAGACACCCTCCAATCAAGAGTGTGTATCTCAGAACGCCGTCTCTGCCTAGGCTGTGGAGAACCAGTGAGAGAGTAAAGCCCTGGAGCACGGGCCCCTGGGAAGATTCTGCCACGCTGCAAGCCTGATGAGGAAGAGGACTTCGGTAATAAGACGGAGTGGGCGGGCTACATAGCAGGCAGGAAGGAGTCGAGGCCTTCTCCCAGATACCCGACTAATTGCAGGGAGGAGGACAATGGGAGGAAGCCAGGGGCTCTTCTTCGGATGCAAGGAACACGGGGATGCTGGGGGTGACACCGGAGGGGATGTTGACTTGATGAGTCTGGACACTGGTGTGTGTGTGTGTGTGTGTTAAGGAGTGCAGCGTACTGACCGTGCTGTCATAGTATGGAAGTCTGAAGGAGAGGTGGTCACAGAGAGAGCCCTGTGCAGTCAACTGACAGGCCAGGAGCCAGCGGGGAGGGACATTTTAGAGCCAAGAACAGAGAGGGTGCTTCAAGGAGGAGGACCATGGGGTGGGACACGGAACAACCATGTCAGAGGTTGCAGACAGTGTCTGCTGGATTCACACACACACACACACACACACACACACACACACACACACACACACACACAGAGAGACAGAGAGAGAGAGAGAGAGAGAGAGAGAGAGAGAGAGAGAGAGAGAGAGAGAGAGAGAAGAGAGACCTCAGACCATGAGAGAGCCACCTCAGTGTCACTGTGAGGGCCCAAAGCCAGGCTGGAGGGCGGGCCGGCTTGGAGACGACCTGTACAAAGCCAGCAGGTTGCCAAATGGACGAAGCAGAGAGAACAGTAACTCAGGGGATGCTCAGGGAGCAGCGTTTAGCTTAAAGACGGAGAGGTGAGAGAACATCTGGGCACCACTGGGAGTGACCTAGAGCGAGGGATTCACTGCGATGAGACCTCCCGTGGAGGGATTCACTGCGATGAGACCTCCCGTGGAGGGATTCACCCTGATGAGACCTCCCGTGGAGGGATTCACTGCGATGAGACCTCCCGTGGAGGGATTCACTGCGATGAGACCTCCCGTGGAGGGATTCACTGCGATGAGACCTCCCGTGGTGGGACTGGGGAGGGAGGAGAGAAGGCTAGGGTGAGAGGGATCAGCTGGGTTTGCGGAGCTCAGCGGGAGATGGGGTCTTGCTTGATGTCTTCTCAGTGGACCGTGGCCCAGTGAAGGGTGGGTGTGAGAGGTGAGGCAGAGGTGTACAGGTCTTTAGCTGCCGGCCATGTCTCCTCTCTGTTGTGTCTGGCTCTGAAGAGAGGGCAGGGAGGCATGGGGGAAGGAGGTACCGGGAGTTCATGTCTGTGGAGGAGGCTCAGCAGTCAAAGCAGAACTGAGTAGGAGAATTGAGGAGGTAGCAGGTTAAATTTAAATTAAATTCCTATAGCATCTATCTATCATCTGTATCTATCTATGTATGTATCTATGTATGTATCTACGCATTATCTATGTATGTACATATGTATGTATGTATGTATGTATGTATGTATGTATGTATGTATCTATCTAAATCCCCTGAATTGTTTTTTGGTGCTCACTTGTAAAGACACTAGAGGGCAGCATTGTTGAAAGAAAAAAAAATCCTGACACCAATACTGTGGATTATGGAAATTCGTTTTTATTTATGTTTAGCATGATGGAGAAATTTAAGTGTAAGATTTTTGCAGTAAAAGTGGTCACATTATTTATTTATTGTTTGTGTGAGTATGTGTGTTGTGGTGGTGGGGGACGTTCCTGAGCCATCACCATTTGTGGGTGTCATAGGTCAGGAGTGGATTCCCCTCTTTCAACACATGAGTCCCAGGGATGGAACTTGCAGTAAGCACCGTGCCTGCTGAGTCGTTTTAGAGCCTTGAAATGCATTGATTCTGAGTGGGGAAGGGACACCAGA